GGTGTTGTTGGGACAAAAAGTGACACCTAATAACACAGTGTGTCAGTGTCCATGATTTACTCATTACTGTATACATGGACATTTGTTTGTAATTTGTTTTATGCAGTCACTATAAGTTATAATCGTGGACACTGTATCAGAATACATAACCTCAAGGAATAACAAGGACACCAGAGTTGTATATACATACCTACTGTAATATCTAAAAATATATATGGATAAGGACTGGAAAGACCTATGATAAATGAACCCAGTTAATTAAAAATAATTTTTTAAGTTTTATAAACACAGCACTTACCATGTGCTACACTTTGTTTTAAAAGCTTTTCAGTTATTGTGTTCAATCCCCTTAGTTCTATGAGGTAGGTACTGTTATTGTCCCAATTATGCAAATGGAGAAACTGAAGCAAAGATGTTGAGAAACTTCCCTAAGGACATAGGTAGTAAGGCGTGGCACTGAGATTGTTCGGCTCCAGAGTCCATGTTTTTAACCACTGTGTGTGCTGACTCCAGTGATTTTCCCCCCTAACTTTTATTGTTGTTGTTGTTATTGTTCAATGTTTCTATAGTAGATATTTGATAATAAAAATCAAGAAATTCCTAAGTAATGAGAACTAAAGTTACCTGGCTCTCTGTCCTGAAGGATTTCTGGTAACATGAACACTACGCTCCCTTTGGAATATGAAGTTTGGATTGGACATTCAGAATCACTGCATTTTCTGGAACCTGAGTTCCCTGGAATTTCACCATACACAGCCCTGAGGATTACAGCAGAGCAGGGGCGGGAGGACTTCACAGAGGTGCAGACAAGTCAGAGGAATGCTCTTCAGTGGGTTTAGAATGCCCCTCCCATGGCAGACTGCAAGACAGCACTGCACGTGGGCACATTCCTCAAGGCATTCCTCAAATTCATGTTTATATTTTAATTTCTCCAGATAAAAAGATTACTTTGTCACAGAGAGGATTTAGGTAGAAAGGGCGCTAACCAGTTCCAGTAGATTGAGGAAGTCTCTGAGTGCTCACAGGGAAGAGGAGGCACGCTGAGTAGGAGGACTTCGGTGGCTTCTCTCCAGTTCACAAATATTTCCTGTATTTCTCTAAATATTTTCTGTAGGGGTATAACTAGGGGCCAGTAGTCCTTCCTGGAGAGGCTTCAAGGGTATTGGTTAGAAGTCCAGGGGACAAAAGGTTCATCTAGGTCATGACTGCCCATCAGTTGAGAAACAGTGGCCTCCTGGTGTTGTGGGATGTTCACCACCTGAGTCCTGTCCCTGGAACTTCCACAGGTATGTGGTATCTGATTCCCTTACCTTTCAGGGCTTACTTCATACTGTCCACCCCGTAAGTGTTGCAGGAGTGGATTCGAGTAATTGAATGTATTTCCCGTGTGATTTGTGTCAAGACCCTTGAAGAGAATAGAGTTAGCAGTATTCTCTCTGTTCAAGAAAGCAGCCTAATGTATCAAGAGTCATACTGCCAATGCGTGGGTATTGTGTTTGAATGCCCAAAGTAACACACTTTAAGTGAATCCAGATTCTCTGATTTAGGGACGGCAAAGGAATTCATCCATCGTACACAATATCACACATTCATCCTGGCAGGTTACTCTATATAACTATATTATCAACCATATTGTCTTTTTAATTTTTTTAATTTTAGAGAAACATCCACTTCTTGTTCCACTTATTTATGCATCCATTGGTTGCTTCTTGTATATGGCCTGATTGGGAATCAAATCCGCAACTGTGGTGTATCGAGAAAGTGCTCTAACCAACTTAGCTACCCTGGCCAGGGCAGGAGAGAGATGTTCTGAGAAATGCATTGTTAGGTGATTTTGTCATCATGCAAACATCACAGTGTGCACTTACACACCTACATGGTACAGCCTGCTATACGCCTAGGCTGTATGGTACAGCCTGTTGCTCCTGGGCTACCAACTGCGCAGCATGTTACTGCGCATAATACGAGGTTAACTCAAGAGCAAGAGAAAATTATGCGATTAAGAGACGTGGTAAACACAGCATGTATGAGGCTGCTGCTGGTGTTACGCAGCACACAGTTCTACAGCAAACTTCATAAGAGTGCACTAAAAGAATAATAAAAAGCCCTGGCTGGGTGGCTCAGTTGGAGCATCATCCTGATATGCCAAGGTTGTGGATTTGATCCCTGGTTATGGAACATGCAAGAACCAACCAATGAGCCCTGGCCAGTTTGGCTCAGAAGTGAGGGTGTTGGCCCATGGACCAAAGAGTCGTGGGTTGGATTCTGGTCAAGGGCATGTATCTCAGTTGCAGTTTAGTCCCTGGCCCTGGTCAGGGTCATGCAGGAGGCAACTGATTGATTTGTCTCTCTCACATCGATGTTTCTCCCTTTCTCCCTTCTCTCTTCCTCTCCCACTCTATCTGAAGATAAATTGAAAAATATCCTCAGGTGAGGATTTTACAAAAAAAATAATCAATGAATGCATAAATAAGTGGAACAACAAATTGATGTTTCTCTTCCTTTAAAATCAATAAAAACATTTTAAGTAATGATAAAAAGTATAGTATAATAAAAACAAATGAGTGACAGTCATTTATTATCAAGTATCATGTACTATATATGTATGTGCTAATCTAGCAGGTTTGTTTATATCAGTATCACTACAAACGTCACACTGCAACATTAGGATAGCTAATGACGTCATTAGGTGATATGAATGTTTCATCTTTGTTATGATCTTAGGAGATCGTTGTTGTACATCCATTTGGTGTGTTGTTAACCAAAATGTTTTCTGGTGCTGCACTGTTACTAGGAAGACAGGCCTGCCTACCTAACTTCCCAAGAGCTCTGCTTGCTCCAGTTTATTTACTGGATGTTACTCCTGTCTGGTGAATAAACGGCTGGACTGGGAGGTGGTGAGCACATTTTCCTTTTTAATCCTCACCCAAGGATATTTTTTATTTTTTATTTTTTTATCATCCTCACCCGAGGACATTTTTCCATTCTTTGTTCAGATAGAATGGGAGGCAGAGAGAGGAACAGAGAGAGAGAGAAACATCGATGTGAAAGGGACACATCGAGTGGTGCCACCCGCACAACCAACCAGGGCCGGCGACAAACTGCAACCGAGGTACATGCCCTTAGCGGGAACCGAACCCGGGTCTCTCCGGACTGCAGGCCGATGCTCTAACCGCTGAGCCAAACCGGCCAGGGCGGATATTTTTACATTTACCATCAGATAGAGTGGGAGGGAAGGAGGGAGAGCGAGAGAAACATTGATGTGAGAGGGACACATCAACCGGTTGCCTCCTGCACAACATGACCAGGGCCAGGGCCAAACCACAACCGAGGTACGTGTCATTGACTGGAATTGAACCCACGACTCATTGGTCCGCAGGCCGACGCTCTAAGCGCTGAGCCAAACCAGCCAGGGCGAGCACATTCTTTTTGAGCTTGGTGCAAACTGGACAGCACCATCATGTGGGCACTGCTGCCTCAGTAGATACTCCAAGGCCCCAACACTGCCAGGGGTGCAACACCCCAGGTGGAGGGCAGAGAGGCCATCTTCTACAACTGACATGTAAGTGCACGTAAGTAAGACTTTGAGGGTGTGATCTAAATAGCCCATTTATAGTAGCCTGAACAGGATCTTAAGTTCCAGGACACTCATGGGACCAAGGCACTCGGACATATGTTGAGTGTATACTAGTCACTGAAGTCACAACTCACCCGCACTGGAAACAGTGAAGGGGGTGTATGGGTGGGGACAGCAGTGAACTCCAGGCTTGTTCAGGAATCAGGTGAGAATAGTAATGACCCAATAGGTGAGACTGCTGGGCAGTGACTTGGGGAAAGATACAAAGACAGAACCAGAGCAGGTAAATGCTGCAGTTCAAATCACTACTCTTAGTTCACCACAAGGGAATAGTCACCCAGGGAAATGGCTTGTATGCTTGTTAGTTCATGCACTCCTGTGTTCAGCAAATGGTCTGGGAGGGGCTGCTGTACCTGGAGTCATGTGCCACTCTGTGCACACCCTCAGGAACCACAGTCATGCGTGAGATGTTGCATCAGCGAGGACAGGTCAGGGTGTCAGAGCCACAACAGGCAGGAACAGGTGTCGGGGGAGCACACAGTGGAGGCACCACAGTTGGATCAGGGAGGCCTTCGGGAGGGGATGCCACTGCCTGTTTCTGTCCACAGCCAGAGTGCAACCAACCACCAGCCATTTCCGTTGCTCTGGGATGTTCTTAGTGAAAAAGAAAACACGCACTTGCCTTTCAGTTCAGAACATGAGACTTCAGCTCTGGCCAGTTGACTCGGAGGTTAGAGTGTCAGCTCGCCGACTAGAGAGTCCCGGGTTCAGTTCTGCTAAGAGCACGTACCTCGGTTGCAGTTTGTTCCTAGCCCTGGTTGGAGCCGTGTGGGTGGTGAACAGTCGATGTGTGTCACTCACATCAATGTTTCTCTCTCTTCCCTCCTCTCTCCCTCCTGCTCTGTCTGAAGATAAATGCAAAAATGTCCTCAGGTGAGGATAAAAAAAAGAACATGAGATTTCAGGTTTTGTTCAACAAGAGGAGGTGGACACAGTTCTGCATTGTGGACACTCTGCTATGGCGTCAGCAAAGGGTGGGGTGGGCCCAGGCAGGAGAATCTGGGGAAAGTTGGGGAGACAGATGAGGGGCCAGGTCTGGAACCAAAAATAAGAAGCAAGGAACAGGAACAAACTCTGCCTCCTCATCAATCACTCTGCTCCCTGAGGGCCGGGATCTGGTCTTCATACCTACCCCTGCCAGCTTAACTTCCCTCTGCAAGGCACCCCATCCTGTTATTGTCCCCACTGGTTGGTGTGTTCCGTGAGGTAACTCCACATGGCAACACGTGCTGACCTCACACTGGTGGCTCCCAGGCAGAACCCAGACATTCTGGAGGGAGCAGAGCTTTTTGGGGGCAGACTCTGGGCTCTAGCTGAATAGCTCCTTTCATCCGTAAGATAAAAGAATAACAATTTTGGAGTGATGGACAAGGTTCAAAGCTCTTTCACTTTTTTATTTTTGTTTTTAATGGAATGGCCACTTTGTGTATGCTTGTCTTATGCAGGTGAGTTCAGACCCCGTGGGACAAACGACAGGCTTCATGGGTACCGCCAACCATTGTCTTTACTTGATTCAGGAGAAGTAAGAAGGGGTCATTACGTTCCACTGCTACCCCTGTTCATAGCACCACTGTTCACAATAGCTAGGATACGGAAATAGCCCAGGTGCCCATCAGTAGCTGAGTGGATAAAAAAGCTGTGGCACATATACACAGTGGAGTACTATACAGCTGTAAGAAAGATCTCTTACCCAGCTGCCCACAAGAGATGACATGGATGGACCTACAGAGTATTATGCTGAGTGAAAAAAGCCAGTCAGAGAAAGACAAGTACCACATGATCTCACTTTTTTGTGGAATATGAACAAAATAAGCTGATGAACAAAATAGATCCAGAGACATGGAAGCAGGGAACAGGTGGACAAACCTCAAAGGGAAGGGGTGTGTGGGGTTCGAAAGAGATAAACCAAAGAATGCATATGCATATATGCACAACCAATGGACACAGACAGCAGTGTCTTAAAGGCTGGTGGGTGGAGGGAAGGAGGGAGGAGGGTTTCAATGGGGGGAAAGGAGGTCCATCTGTAATAAGAAAACAATTTTAAAAATACATCATAATTCTAATTTTCATGTTGAAAGTGGGCAACATGTTTAGATGAGGAACTCTACTGGAAAAGAATTAAGGAAATATAATTAAGAAAGAATGCAACTTCTGTAGTGGGCAATTGGCAATTCCTATATAAAGGATACATTTACTTTTGACCCACAGAGTGGGGGTCTTTGACTCTCTCCAGGAAATACTGAAGGGAGAGTCTCTCTAGGATCAAGGCTCCAAATGCCAGAGCATCAAGAGTACAGAAAATATAGTCAATATAACCAGCCATTTCAATATTAGAAATTTTTAATTTTTAAGAAACTGATTTTAGAGAGAGACAAACATTGATTGGTTGCCTTCAGTATGCACCCCAACTGGGCATTGAACCCACAACCTGGGTATGTGCCCTGACTGGGAATGAAACCCGCCACCTTATAATGTAATGTACTTGATGATGCTCCAACCAAGTCAGTGACCCGGCCAGGGCTCAAGAAAATTTTATTTTATTTATCCTCACCCGAGGACATTTTTCCATTTTTTGTTCAGTAGAGTGGGAGGGAGAAAGAGGAAGAGAGAGAGAAACATCGACGTGAAAGGGATACATCGAGTGGCTGCCACCCTCACGACCAACCGGGGCTGGGGGCAAACTGCAACCAAGGTACATGCCCTTAGCGGGAACTGAACCTGGGTCTCTCTGATCCGCAAGCCAACACTCTAACGGCTGAGCTAAACCGGCCAGGGCTCAAGAAAATTTTACAAAAAATATCCTAGTCCATTTCCCTAGTCCACTTACTCTCCTATTCTGCTTGGTGACTGTGTCATATCACGATTTAAAACAGTCCTATTTGGTCCTGGCCAGTTTGACTCAGTGGTTAGAGTGTCGGCCTCACGAACCAAAGAGTCCCAGTTTGGCATGTACCTGGGTTGCGGTTTGTCCCCGGCCCTGGTGGGGGTCCTGTGGGTGGCAACAGTCGATGTGTCTCTCTCATGTTGATGTTTCTCTCTTCCTCCCTCTCTCCCTCCTGCTCTATCTAACAAAAACAACAACAATAAATGGTCCTATTGCAGGCTGGTGTGGTTCAGTGGTTGAGCATCGACCCATGCACCAAGAAGTCCCTGCTGGTTCGATTCCCGGTCAGGACACATGCCCAGGTTGTGGGCCCAATTCCCAGTGCGGGGCATGCAGGAGGCGGCCAATTGATGTTCTCTCTCATCAGTGTTTCTATCTCTCTCTCCCTCTCTCTTCCTCTCTCTCTAAAATCAATAAAGAAAAAAAATTTTTTAAATAATAAAATAGTCCTATCCCCATACAAACATTTCTATTTTCCCATCTTAAAGAAACAGAACCTGCCCTGGCCGGTTTTGCTCAGCGGTTAGAGCGTCAGCCTGCGGTCCTGAGAGACCCGGGTTCGGTTCCCGCTAAGGGCACGTACCTCGGTTGCAGTTTGTCCCCGGCCCTGGTCGGTTGTGCGGGTGGCAGCCACTCGATGTGTTCCTTTCACATCAATGTTTCTCTCTCTCTCTCTGTTCCTCTCTCTCCCTCCCACTCTACCTGAACAAAGAATGGAAAAATGTCCTCGGGTGAGGATAAAAAAAAAAACCAGAACCTATCTCTTGATCGGTCAGCCCCTTACAGAAGATGCCCGTTTCTCGCCCCCTTTACCGCAGAGCTCCTCAAAAGTCTCCAAAACTCGGTTCTCTAATTCTTTTCCTCCCGTTCTCTTCTGGTGAACCGGTTTCAGTCAAGCTTGCATTCCCACCACATTGGCTCTAATACCACCTTTGTCTCGGTTTCCAAAGACCTTCCCATTGCCAGATCCAAAGGCGAGTTTTCAGTAACTGTATTGAAACCATCTGTGACCCATATTCCTTTTTTCTCCCCATTATTTCATTATGAAAATCCAAGACCATACAGACCATACAGAAAAGGTGAAGGAATTACGGAGCACACATCCGTATACCCCACATGGACAAGTCTGCAGTGAAGCATTTTGCATGGTTAGCATTTCCACAGTCCAGGTTCTTTTCATCCTGACAGGCTGACCTCACCAAGGGCTGAGCCTCGAGGCCTTTTTCAGTGCAGCTGCCGAACTTCTGGTCCTGTCCCAGTAAAGGGACAGAAAGTGAGAGTGGGCCAAGTGAAGCACATGGAGTAGCCACTCCGTGTCGTTCAGTCTGCACAAACAGCAACACTTTGTTTTTTCTCTATTTTATTTCAGGTGACAGGAAGAATGGTACACCGGAGCCTACAAATAAGGGCTTTATAGCATATTCGCTGTCCCCGAACACCAACAGCAGGAATGCAGGTTGGTGAAATTGCACCCCAGGCTGCCCTGGGATGGCCTATCATCACAGCACTGCCTAGCCCAAGACCACCAGGGCAGCACTCGAGTTGTAAGACAAAAACCATTCTCCTGTTGGCTACGTCGATGGCAAGTGCTTCTATACTGAGTCAGGGACCCTGCATCTCCACAGGGCAAGGGAGGCAGGTGAAAAAGGAGAGTCCACGGTGACGTGGGAATTCAAATTATATTTGTTCACACAGGCTGTGCAGTCTCACCTCTGTCTTTTAAAATGCAATTTTTAAAAATATGTTTTCAGCCCTGGCCGGTTTGGCTCAGCAGTTAGAGCGTCCGCCTGCGGTCCCGAGAGACCTGGGTCCGGTTTCCGTTAAGGGCACGTACCTCGGTTGCAGTTTGTCCCCGGCCCTGGTTGGTCGTGCGGGTGGCAGCCACTCGATGTGTCCCTTTCACATCGATGTTTCCCTCTCTCTCTCTCTCTCTTCCTCTCTCTCCCTCCCACTCTGCCTGTACAAAAAATGGAAAAATGTCCTCAGATGAGGATAAAAAATATATATATATGTTTTCAGCCCTGGCCGGTTTGGCTCAGCGGTTGGAGCATTGGCCTGTGGTCCAGAGAGACCCGGGTTCAGTTCCTGCTAAGTAAGGGCGCATGCCTCGGTTGCGGTTTGTCCCTCGCCCTGGTTGGGTCGTGTGGGTGGCGATGACTAGATGTGTCCCTTTCACGTCAATGTTTCTCTCTCTCTCTCTTTCTCCCTCCCACTCTATCTGAATAATAAATGGAGAAATATCCTCAGGTGAGGATAAAAAATAAATAAATAAAAATGTTTTCACCCTGGCCGGTTTGGCTCAGCGGTTGGAGCGTCGGCCTGCGGTACAGAGAGACCCGGGTTCGGTTCCCGCTAAGGGCATGTACCTCGGTTGCAGTTTGTCCCCGGCCCTGGTTGGTCGTGCGGGTGGCAGCCACTCGACGTGTCCCTTCACATCGATGTTTCTCTCTCTCTCTCTTCCTCTCTCTCCCTCCTGCTCTGTCTGAACAAAAAATGGAAAAATGTCCTCGGGTGAGGATAAAAAAAAAAAGAGAAGAAAAATGTTTTCATTGATTTTTTAGAGAGGAAGGGAGAGAGAGAGATAGAAACATCCATGTGAGAGACAAGCATCCATCGGCTGTCTCCTGCACACCCCACACCGGGGATCAAGTCCACAACCAGGGCATGTGCCCTGACCGGGAATCCAACTAGAAACACTCAGTCCATGGGATGACACTCAACCCACTGAGCCACACTGGCCGGACTGAAATGCTACTGTTAAATTATATTTCTGATTTTATCTCCCATTCCTGTTTGGAACACCAGTATGATTAACTGATATTTTAACTGACAGGCACAGCCAAAATGAAATTTGGTAAGAACTTCCTTTCTTTCATTTTTAGTGATGATTCCGCGAAGACATGCTCTTGTCCAAGTAATCACACTGGCATGTGTTGTCTTAAGCATGGCCCTGGTATGTGGAATCGCTGTTTCCTATATGATATAGTGAGTATATGCTAAGTGACCTTACCATCCTTAAGAAAGACACCAGTTAGCTAGGTTATTATTTAGTGATGATAATGATGATCATAATTTTTTTTTTTAATCCTCACTCGAGGATTTTTTTCTCTATTTTTTTTTAATCCTCACCCAAGGACATTTTTGCATTTATCTTCAGATAGAGCAGGAGGGAGAGAGGGAGGAAGAAAGAGAGAGACACATCGAGTGGTCACCACCCACATGACCCCAAACAGGGGCCAGGACAAACTACAACTGAGGTACATGCCCTTAGTGGGAACCAAACCCAGGTCTCTCTGGTCCGCGGGCCGAACCTCCAACCACTGAGCCAAATCGTCCAGGGCTCTCCATTCGTTTTTAGAGAGCATGGAAAGGGGTGGGGGAAAGAGAGAGGTAGGAACATCATTGTGAGAGAGAAACATTAATCGGCTTCCTCCTGCACACCCTCTATTGGGGATTGAGCCTGCAACTAGGGTATGTGCCATGACCAGGAATCGAACCAGGACTTCCCAGTCCATGGGACAATGTTCAATCCACTAAGCCACAGTGGCCTGGTTGATTACAAAGTTTTGAATCTATTGTGACTGCCTCTGACTTCAACATAGTCCTTCTCTAATTCACACTTGGCATTATCAGTTACTCCTTTTCGATCTATCAGCACAAATTTAAGATCTATGATTACTTTGGTTTAACAGTATATTTCTGCCTTCATCTCCCACTTACCACCACATACTAGTGACTCTTTCAGTCAAAAAGTCACATGAGCCCTGGCCGGTTTGGCTCAGCAGTTAGAGCATCAGCCTGCAGTCCGGAGAGACCCGGGTTCGGTTCCCGCTAAGGGCACGTACCTCGGTTGCAGTTTGTCCCCGGCCTTGGTTGGTCGTGCGGGTGGCAGCCACTCGATGTGTCCCTTCATGTCGATGTTTCTCTCTCTCTCTCTTTCTCCCTTCCTCTCTCTCCCTCCCACTCTATCTGTACAAAAAAAAAAAAAAAAAAAAAGGAAAAATGTCCTCGAGTGAGGATTAAAAAAAAAAAGGTCACATGATTAAGACATGATGGCTTGGCCATCAGTTGGTTGGGAGCCCTCCTGTATACCCAAGCGTTGCTGGTTTGATTCCTGGTCAGGCAGGACATATGCCTAGATTTTGTATGTGATCCCTGGTAGGGGGTGTGCAGAAGGCAGTTGATCGATGTTCTGTTCCCATATTGATGTTTCTCTATCTCTCCCTCTCTCTCTAAAAATCAATAAAATATATTTGGGGGGAAAACCAGCACAAATTTATTACAACAAAAAAAGACATGGTGACATATTGTGAAAATTGTGCTCCTAAATTCACTTGTATTATTCTCCAGTCGACTGGTACAGACTGAAGAAAAGCAACAACTTGCATTGCTTTATCAAAATATCGAGATACCATCATTAGAAGATGAAGAGAAGGGCTTCCAGGACGAGGACCAAGACGAGTCCAAGTACCTACTTCCAGAGAATGAGAAGGAACTGGCGAATTTCATTAATTCAGGTAGAGAATCGACCAGCGTATCTTCTCAGAGTCTAAGTCACATGAAAACTGAGCCGGTAATGAGGGTTTGGTTTTCAAAGGCAGAGCTAAGTGGGAGTTAACAAAAACTAACATAGCCATGGCCAGTTTGGCTCAGCAGTTAAAGCGCGTTGGCCCATGAACCAAAGAGTGGAAGGTTTGATTCCTGGTCACGTACCTTGGATGAGGATTAACAACAACAACAAAAAAGACAGAAACATTAATATTTACAGCCACGCCTACAGAAATTACCTGTGTTCTCATCAAATTGCACAAGTGGTAAACAACTTGCAGGTGTGTGGTTCATTCTGCAGGGAAGTTCCAAGGACTGGGAACAAAGTTCAGAAAATACACTTTGTCCTGGACAGACATTTCCCTTAAACGTATTTATTTATTTATTTATTTTATCCTCACCCGAGGACATTTTTTGATATTTTGTTCAGATAGAGTGGGAGGGAGGGAGAGAGGGAGGGGGAGAGAGAGAGAGAGAGAGAGAGAGAGAGAGAGAGAGAGAGAGAAACATCAACGTGAAAGGGACACATCGAGTAGTCGCCACCCACACGGCCCAATCAGGGCCCGGGACAAACTGCAACTGAGGTACGTGCCCTTAGCGGGAACCAAACCCGGGTCTCTCCAGACTGCATGTTGACGCTCTAACCGCTGAGCCAAACCGGCCAGGGCTTAAACGTATTTATTAAAATGATATTATTCTCAAGAGTCAAACACAGACAAGCAGAAATCTCACCTGTACCATGGGCCTCAATCTTATGTGAAAACGTGATCCAGGCCCATAAAACAGAGGTCACTACCCCATGTTCAAAGACCTCTGTCTGAGATATGCCCATCATGCCTGCAAGTCCTTGTGAGGAGCCTTGGTCAGTTTCGCTCAACAGTTAGTGCATCAGCCCGCGGACCAATGAGTCATGGATTCAATTCCAATCAAGGACAACTACCTTGGTTGAGGTTTGTTTCTAGCCCTGGTAAGGCTTGTGCGGGAGGAACCAGTGGATGTGTCTCTCTCATGTTGATGTTTCTCCCTCCCTCCCTCCCACTCTCCCTCCCTCCCTCCCACTCTCCCTCCCACTCTGTCTGAAGATATATGGAAAAATATCCTCGGGTAAGGATTAAAAAAAAGGAGAGGGCCACATACATATTCATATAAGCCTGATTTTGTAGAAGTTCTGACATTCTTGCATACTTGCTTTTTAAAAAATCCTACAGCAGCCCTGGCCAGTTTGGCTCAGCAGTTAGAGTATCCGCCTGCGGTCCAGATAGACCCGGGTTTGGTTCCCGCTAAGGGCATGTACCTCAGTTGCAGTTTGTCCCTGGCCCTGGTTGGATCGTGTGGGCAGCAACCACTCGATGTGTCCCTTTCATGTCGATGTTTCTCTCTCTCTGCCTCTCCCTCCCACTCTGTCTGAACAAAATATCGAAAAATGTCCTTGGGTGAGGATAAAAAATAAATAAAATTAAAAAGTTTTAAAAAAAAATCCTACAGCAAAAATCTATGCAGAATGCAGTATCTAATTCAGTCTTATTAACCATACCCTGAGTGGATCTTCTCCCTAACAACCCCAGACATAGATAATCAGAAAGAGGCTGGAAGGCTAAGAGGAGAGGTCCTTTATGCTTAGTGAGGCAGACAGCTACGCTAACCTTTAGGAAATATTTTTTCAATGTATTTTCATTACATTGAATTACAACTTTTCTACATTCTTTTTTTTATTGGACATTTATAAAGATTGAATACAAAGTAATAGACACAGATAACAATATGGTGATTACAAGAGGGAAAGGGAGCCCTGGCCAGTTTGGCTCAGCGGTTAGAGCGTCGGCCTGCGGTCCGGAGAGACCCGGGTTCGGTTCCCGCTAAGGGCATGTACTTCGGTTGCAGTTTGTCCCCGGCCCTGGTTGGTCGTGCAGGTGGCAGCCACTCGATGTGTCCCTTCACGTCGATGTTTCTCTCTCTCTCTCCCTCCCACTCTATCTGTACAAAAAATGGAAAAATATCCTCGGGTGAGGATAAAAAAAAAAAAAAAAACCAAGAGGGAAAGGGAGCTGGGGGAGGTAGAAGAGGGTATGGGGGGATAAATGGTAATGGAAGGAGACTTCACTTGGGGTGGTCAGCTCATAATACAATATACAGATAATGCATTATAGAATAGTATACCTGAAACCTATATAATTGTAATAACCAATGTCACCCCAATAAATTAATTGAAAAAAAATAAAGCTTGAATACCGAAAATAGGACAATAATGTAAAATTTCAAATTTTCACTACCCTTATCAATTAACATTCATTATGTCCTAAAAAGTCCACTATTTGCACCTTTATTTTTCCATCCTTTTTTCCTCAGCCCTTCTTCATTTCTATTCCTCATTTATTTTATCTTAATAATATTATGTCTACATTTTAGTTATGAGATCAAAAAGAAGACAACATATTGAAAAGACAAGATTGGAGAGCAAGCAAAATTAGTCAAGGATAGAAAATACTGAATGCTGTGCACCTTGCAAAAGTGGGAATCTGTGAAAGCAAATGAAAGAGCTGCAGGACGTGCCAGCCAGTGTGAAAAAACAATGGCAGGGGCGTCAGACTGACGACACGTGGACCCTAAGGAAATAAAACTAGAAGGATATAACACAAAATACATTCATATAATATTGTAATTCTTGCACCTTAACAGTCATAGTTCATGAATAATTATAATGCAATTGGAAAGAGAAAAATCTAACTTCATAAGTGTGGAAAAGAAATTGGCGGTATTTTCTTTCTTTGCTCCTAACCAGAAATACAAGTCATTGCTTTGGGCAATCTCCCAGACCTTTCTGGGGAGCCACTTTCATTAAACAGAACTTTCCCACTGATATCTCTTCATTCCAGTAGCTTATCTTCATTTACAAGAGAAGACTGAGAATGTCAACTGGGTACAAGCGTACGGAGGGGGGGAATCCTTTCCATTGTTGATAATTCTCAGAGCAATAGTGTCCCAGGGTTCCAAATCAGGTGAGGGCCCAGAAAGTGGGGAAGCCAGGCTCCAGCCCACCTTTGAGCTTCTAGAATCCATCAAGGTCTATGGCTAGACCATCCAGTCATTGGAAGGCAGCCTGGTAGTGCATGATCCAGTGCTGGTTGCCAGCATGGTTCACACTATGGCATTGGTTTTGCTGGAAATGCACTACACGTAGTATACAGATGCCGGCAGGAAGAGGCTGGGTGGCTTTTTAATCAAGTGTCAAGTAAACAAGGAAGGGAAGAACATGAATCTTGTCAACCAGTTGTTGTTGGCGCCAGTTCAATGCTGACAATAATTCCCAATTTGGAGTATGGTGAAGAAGGAAATTTATTCTGTGAAAAACAGCTCAATCATTATACAGCATGGCTGTGCAAACAGACAGCTGTAGAACAGCCATGAGGCCAAGTGACTCTGAGGACAGGCCCCTCTCTGGCTGGACAGCTCTGCTTCGCTTCTCCTTTTTGGTTTTTCAGCTTAGCCAGGGACACACACTCTATAGCAGTGTTTCTCAACCTTCCTAATGCTGTGACCCTTTAATACAGTTCCTCTTGTTGTATATTGGCATATCTGCCTGTGGGCGGACCCTCCTGGAGACGGATAGAGGAGCAGTGTCGAGGTCCCTAAGACCATCAGAAATATGTGTTTTCCAATGGTCTTAGGCGACCCCTGTGAAAGGGTCGTTCGACCCCCAAAGGAGCCACGACTTGTAGGTTGAGAACTGCTGCTCTACAGCTTTTTTTTTAAATCCTCACCCAAGGACATTTTTGCATTTATCTTCAGATAGAGTGGGAGGGAGAGAGTGAGGAAGAGTGAGAGAGAAACATCCATGTGAAAGAGACACATTGAGTGGTTGTCACCCACATGACCCCAACCTGGGCTGGGGATAAACTGCAATGGAGGTCCGTGCCCTTAGTGGAAACCGAACCCGGGACTCTCCAGTCCATGGGCCGCTGCTCTAACCTCTGAGCCCAACTGGCCAGGGCACACTCTCCAGATTTTGATGGAAAGGGAAAAAGCAATTTCCCAGTGAGAAGGGAGCTGGCTTAGATGGACAGGAGTCCCTGCTCCTGATCTCTGATTGGTTTATCCTCATGCAAATTAGGAATCCAAATCCTCCAGTTTGATTGTTCCAAAAGGCAGTGTTCTGACTGGTTAGCACAGAGCTGTTCTGATTGGCCTGAGCACTATAGCTTCAGTCCTATTGGATAAAATAGAATTACAAGAACTCCTTTATAAGTGATGGCTCAGATGACAGAAACACAATTTAGGCAGGTGGTTTAACACAGAGGCAGGCAGGTCAGCACAGGCTTCTCCATGAAATCTAACTTGTGTGAGAAGATTCTGTGCAGAAATGACTGATAGGCACTTTTTAAAAATGTTTGAGTCCAGTTAGCCACCAGGAGTCCTTGTTTGTGGGTGACTTTTTTTTTTCCTCTCAGGGTTCACAGTCAGATGTGTCTAAGTAAAACCACTGTGGTAGGCAGAATACTAAGGTAACCCCCAAGATTCCTGTCTCCTGGTATTCAAAGTTATAATAACCGGCCCTGGCCAGTTTGGGTCAGCTCTTGGAGCATCATCCTGCGACCAAAGAGTCGCGGATTTGATTCCCAGTCAAGGGAACGTACCTCAGTTATGGTTCCATCCCCGGCCCTGATCAGGGTCATGCAAGAGGCAACCAATCAATGTGTCTCTCTCACATTGGTGTTTCTCTCTCTGTTTCTCTCCCTCCCTTCCACTGTATCTGAAAATCAATGAAAAAGTAACCTTGGGTGAAAAATATCCTCAGGTGAGGTTTAAAAACAAACAAAAAAAAAAGGTGTATAACTCCCTCCCCTTGAAGGTGGGCCTGCAAATATGACACCTCACTCCCTTGATTAGGCAAAGATGATAGGATAGTTGCTCTCTTAATTGTTACATCACATAAGACTCTGTCTTAGCAAACTGGAGAGCCATCTCACCTAGTGTTTAGAGACTGGCTCCATGCAGGGAAAGACCTTCATTAACCAACCCAGTGTGAAGGCTTAAGGCCTTCTCAGATCTTTTCTGGGCATGCACTGTCCCCTGGCTCGTGTGTGTGTGTGTGTGTGTGTGTGTGTGTGTGTGTTTTCCCCAATTTCTATAATTTGCATACACAAAGTGAGCTAAATAGCTTGATTTTACTGAGTGGGCACAAAATAATAGTCATAAGTATAAAAATGGTGAAACAAAATGATGAGCTTTAAAAACTTGTCTAGTCAAGGATCCCCAATTGATCCTGGGTACACCAAGGATTTTTCTTTAAAAAAATGTGCATATGATTGTTTGTGTCTTTTCACAGATATCATTAATAAACCTTATATAAGTGAGAGATCAATTTTTTTTTCACAATCCAAGAATTTGCAGAGACAATTCTGCCACCATCCTTGAATCACAACATAGTCATTATTAATAGCTTTATGAAAATATTCTTTAAACAGGTATAATTGACATATTAATTTCAGCTATACAACATGATTCAGTATTTGTATACATTGTGAAATGATCATAATAAGTCTAGTGAACATTTGTTACCTTACATAGTTACGCAATTAATATTTCTATAATTTGCATGTTTCAAGTGTTATTCTGAGAGAATATCAATTCATCATTCAGTACAGTCCCTGAAATCACAGAATGAAATGAGATCACTGATTTAAGAGTCCAACGTGTTCCTCCACTAGTGGACATATTTTGTGATTATGGAATATGCACATTCGGATCTGTAACCTTTGGGAGCATCTGAAAGAATATGTTTAGCTTCACAACTTAAGGTACTCTGAAATAATATGTCTCCAAACACTTGTGTGATTAGTTGCAGACTACTCCTCAGAAATCGAAGTAGGACATCTTTAAAAAGGAACTAAGCCCTGGCCGGTTTGGCTCAGCGGTTAGAGCATCAGCCTGCGGTCCCGAGAGACCCGGGTTCGGTTCCCGCTAAGGGCACGTACCTCGGTGCCCCGGCCCTGGTCGGTCGTGCGGGTGGCAGCCACTCGATGTGTCCCTTTCACATCGATGTTTCTCTCTCTCTCTCTCTCCCTCCCACTCTACCTGAACAACAACAAAAAAAAATGTCCTCGGGTGAGGATAAAAAATAAATAAATAAATAAAAAGGAACTAAGCCCTTACCGGCATGGGCCTCTGGACCAAAGAGTCACAGGTTTAATTCCCAGTCACGAGCACCTACCTAGGTTGTAGGTTGCAGGTTTGAGCCCTGGCCCCAGTTGGGGTGGTGCAGGAGGCAACCAAACTATGTCTATCACATAGATGTTTCTCTCTCTCTCTCTCCCTCCTTCCCACTCTATTTGAAAAGAAATATCCTTGGGCGAGGACAATAAAAGAAGGAACCAAGCCCTTCCTTTCTCCTGGGACCCACAGTCGCCCTTTCCGAGCGCCCCTCCCGGCCCAGCGTGGCCATTTCCACTGGGGGTCTGCTTGGCCGGGTGGGAAGTTCCTCAGTGTGGCCTGTGGGACTGGGAACTACATTACCCAGAATGCTCGGAAACTTTGGCAGCGACGCCGACCAATGATACTTCAGAAAAGTTTGCCTGAGCCAGTAACCCTGGGCGGGACTTCCGGTGTCGTCCGCGTGTAGGGTGTTTTGTTTCCTCTCAGGATCGTTTTACTGGGTCGCGTCTCCTGAGTGCGCCTCGCGGTGGAGATGCCCAGCGTTTGAAAGGCGCCAGAGTGGTCGTCGAAGCCACCGCACACACGCGGGTCTGAGGCTCGGCACGCCGCCCGGGGAACCCGAGGCAGGCCCGGGACAGGGGCCGCCGTGCCCGGGCCCCTTCTAGCCCCGCTCCCGTCCGCTGCGGCTGCAGAGCCCTTTGCGGCGTCCGCGCTGAGGCTCCCGGCTGAGGTGAGAGCGCGTCCCCCGGCCTCCCCGCCCCGAGCCCCGAGCCCTGCAGCCCGGGCCCGGCGGGCGGACCGAGAGCGCTCGTGGGTGACACACGCTGCGCCGGGGTTGGGAGAGGGGACGGGCTAAGGGGCTGCCGCATAAACACGCGTTGTGACGGCTGACGACCCGGGGACCTGGGGTCCTCCTGTCAACGGGGAACAGAGAGTGAGGCGGAGTGACACCTGGAGTAGCAGGTGTCCCTCATTGTGAGGACTCCTGGAGCCCGGGAGGAGGGCGGGGTTTGAACAAAAAGAGACGCAATCCCCGTTAGGGTTTTCAAATGTCCCTGAAGGCTGTTCCTTGGAGGCAGCTGCTGAGTTCATTGGGGCACTGGGACGTCGTTCTTCCGTTCTCGGTCACACTGCTGGTAAGAGGCGACACTGAGCACAGAGGGTCGGAAGTTTGACAGTCCCCCTCCCCGCCTCGACTGAGGTCATCTGGCTCCAGGGCCAGGGAAGGGTACAGGGAAGCATGAGCACAAGGAACCCCGCCAGGGACCCCTTCATTCCTCAGAGGCCGACCTCTTCCTGCAGGTTCCCTTGACCGCCCGACTGCTTATGGAACCCACACAGGTAAGTGAAGGGTGTCCCAGACCCTCACAAACCCAGTTCCCCTCCCGTGTTCCCTGGATTGTGCTTTCTTAATGCCATTCCTCAAGCCCTTTTGTTTGGGGACCCTGGAGAAACCCCAAGCCCAGGGTCCTGAGTCCATCTATATGGACTGTATATAGACGTGTTTCTATTACTGACAATTGATGTAAACAGGTGTGGAGAAGTAACCAGGTTGTGCATATGTTTCTATATAAAACTGATTAGAGGGATATTATCACCATCTTTTTTTTTTTTTTTTTAACAACCAGGGCTTTGGGTAGCAGCTGTAGTGATGGAAGCTGCATCAGCTGAGATGAGCGAGTTGGTAGTAGGTGTAATACTTACTGGGGATATCAGGAGCTTTATTTTTTACCATGTTAAGAGTTTGAGATGTTTCAGAGACCACTGAGTGGATTCCTCAAATGGCAGATGGACACACAAATTGAGAAATCTGGGGAAGGATTCAGATTGGATACATCCAAAATGTAGTAGCTACTGTGAAGACAAAGGTGAGTGAGCTGTTGGTTACCTTTAGGAGAGGCAAACTTCAGGTTGTGGTGGTAACTCTATTATCAGGTGTTGATCTTAAGCAAATGGCCATATATTTCTCCAACAAAATGGGTTTTATTTGGAAAATAACAAATAATTGTATTTCAAGATATGCAGGTTATGGAGGAACCATAGGCAAGCCCAGAGAAAAAAGTAGAAGAGTGTTCTATTTATTTTAGCCTCACCTGAGGACATTTTTCCATTTTTTGTGCAGATAGAGAGGGAGAGAGAGAGAGAAACATCGACGTGAAAGGGACACATCGAGTGGCTGCCACCGCACAACCCAACCAGGGCCAAGGACAAACTGCAACCGAGGTATGTGCCCTTAGCGGAAACCCAACCCGGGTCTCTCTGGACCACAGGCCGATGCTCTAACTGCTGAGCCAAACCTACCAGGGCAGAAGAGTGTTCTTTTATAGAGGAAGTGGGGAGTTCAGAGGGCTTTAGTAAACAAAGTGTGCATTGGAGGAAACTGGGAGTTCAATATTTAGTGGTTTTTCACTGGCTGAGTGGTTGCCCAGAAAGCTGATCTTCCTTCTTCTTGCTGGCGTAGTAGAGTACAAAATATCTTCCTATTGGAAGTTTTTTTTTTTTTTTTTGTAATCCTTACTCGAGGATATTTTGCCATTGATTTTTTTTTTTTTTTTGGATAGGGAGGGAGAGAGAGAGAGAAAAAGAAAGAAACATCGATGTGAGAGAGACACATCGATTGGTTGTCTCCTGCAGGACCCCAAATGGGGCCAGGGATCGAACCAAGGTATGTGCCCTTGACCATGAATCGAACCTGCGACTCTCTGGTCCGAGGGCTGATGCTCTAACCACTGAAACAAACTGTACAGAGTCTTTTGGCGGTTCTTATTGAAGGGTGGGGCATGGAGTTCCCCCTACCTGCCTTCTCAACTCTACTTTAAATGACGTTTCTGTTTATTAATTTTCAAAGTAGTAAGAGGAAGGGGTTGGGTGGGCCCAAGGACTGGATCTTTTGCCTGGGTATCCAGGTGATGTTTTTGGGCTTTGTAACCACAGATAAGGGAGATAAGTGAGGCTTACAAGGAAAGAATAGATATGAGATGGATGCAGAAGCATTGTCATTAATTCATGATGCACTCAGGCCAAAACTAGTGCTTATTCACCACTTTATGGACTCACTAAGATTTTGTGAGAACTTTTGTGAAGCCTGGGATGTTTTCATTCAGTCAGGTGGATAGGGTTGGGGCAAATTCAGTCACCTATAAGACTCACTAGACCTGGGGAGAAGGTGATCAGTAGGGCTGGGCTTTGAATGAGGGTTGAATGAACAGAGGAGGGTTGTAATTGCTGAGGGCACAGTAAGTGCTGCAGAAGTAATATAAGAACTTGGGTATCTGAGATCCACATGTGGGGAAGAGGAATAATTCCCCTTTACCTCTTCTGGTTCTTTTGGCTGGCCGAATAGTCAAATCAATAAGAGACTGACAGAAAATCAAATTTAGTTTTATACACACATACATGAGAGTTTTCAGAGACAGAAAGGAAAATGGGTATATAAGACCTCAGCTAGCAATGAGGTAAGGCACCTTGGGGCTTCAAAGGTCATTGCAGGGAGTGTCCATGTTCATTATTAGTAATTTACCTGCCATATACATAGGTCAAAAAGGTTATCTCTGATCATTTTTTTTTTTCTTTATTGATTTTAGAGAGAGAGGAAGGGAGAGGGAGAGAGAGATAGAAACATCAATGAGCAAGAACATTGTTTAGCCACCTCCTTCATACCCCCCACTGGGGATTGGGCCTACAACCTGGGCATGTGCCCTGACCAGGAATCAAACCGGTGACCGGAATCGAACCGGTGACCTCTTAGTGCATGTTTGATGCTCAACCACTGAGCCATACTGGCCAGGCTCATTTTTTTTTCCTTAAGCTTCATCCGAGGATATGTTTTTATTTATTTTAGAGAGAGAGAGAGAGAGAAACATCGATGTGAGAAAAACATTGATATGAGAGGTAAGTTTTGATTGGTTGCCTCATGTACATGCCCCGACGGGGTTGAACCTGCCTACCTAGGTACATGCCCTGACCAGAATCAAACCCACAACCTTTTGGTGTATGGAATGACTCTCCAACCAACTGAGCAACCCAGCCTGGGCTCTGATATTTTATGGGCAAGGGTCCTCACTCAGTTCATCTAGATGGTTAAGGGGTTGGGGTCAGGAGTTTCTCTTGAGCCCACAGAATCTCAGTTTCCTTTAGCTCAAAATAATTTGCATACAACTGAGGCACATCTTGGGGTGGCTTGTCCTGAACCCCATACATATGTGGCTCTGTGTGGCTAAGTCTGACGCAAGACATGTAGGAAGACCGTCTGTCATAGAATGATTTGGGCTGCCATTGTTGATGGGAACCATGGGGAGTCTGATAATATTGGATCCTGTTTGAATTTGTTAAGTATACTCTGGATACTCTTAACAAATCGTGTGGTTAAGTCCTAAAAGTAAGGCCAATAGATGTGCTGCGCCTTTACATCTGGTGAAACCAGGATGTTCTCAAATGGCCCTAGTGCAAGTTTCCCTCCACACTCTGCTCTCACAGATAGTCTTGTAGCCTTACAACCCTTTTAATGAAGCAGAACAGGCTCAGATTCTGCTTACCACTTGGTAATGGATTTTAGTTCCCTACCAACCTACAGAGCTATTTTAGCAAGTCAGTCACATCCTCCTGCAGGAATTGGGACATCATACCCTCTCATTCCTACAAATACAGCCCCTCAGGTGCACACTCTTCTGGAGTGCAACCTTCACATGGTCTTGCTTGTTGGGTGGTATCATCTTCTCCCAGACTACAAGTGTATGAGATGAGTAAAACGTCTGTTGATTGCATCTGTCCAGTGTCAGGGGTTGTAAGTGTGGCCACACAACTAGCATGGGGATCACACCTTGACTAGTGTGAAGATCTAACTGAGATACAAGTGTGTGGGGCATTGATTGTAGCAGCATGTGGATGTGGGACCTGGAGGTGTGAGAGATGTGCATTATGAAGAGCTATGTGTAGATGCACAGGGAGCATGTCTGGTGGTCTAGGGCACTGCATTGACAATGACATGACAATGGCCATACCAGGGGAATTGTTTATGGGTGGGTACACCCTTCTGTGCATCTTCACATAGTTTAGATATCTATTTGTCCATCTGCCTCTTGCTGCTGCTATCCTTACCCAGTTATCAGTAGGCCCATGAGGAGACAGCAGTACTAGTAATCCCATGGCCTGGTTTCTTCTGAGTTGGAGAGCTTAGGAGAAGGATGGGCGTACAGTAGATGTTGAGGTGGGAGGGATCTATTGTGGCTGTACAGTAAAGGGGCTGTTTGTGGTTTCATCTATCACCATCATACCAGGGCATTGTGACCTTTGATGATGTAGCCGTGTACTTCTCCTGGGAGGAATGGAGGCTACTTGATGAGGCTCAGAGACGCCTGTACCACATTGTGATGCTGGAAAACTTGGCACTTATATCCTCTCTGGGTAAGATTCTCAGACCTTTTCTTATCACCTCAGCGACTCTCTGCCATTTCCTTTACCCCAAAGACAGGTCTGTTTTTCTCACACCAGGACCATGGGCACTGCTTTCTTCCCCAGTTCCCTGGGTAGGCGCTATGGTTGGTAGGGCAGAGGTTTGTGCACTGCCCTCTCCTTCCTTGAGCAGCTGCAGCACCTTGCCTACAGTCTCATAGTGAAGGTATTTGGGGCTGAGACTTTGCAGTTACCCTAATATATCTCACTTTGCTTGCCCTCACCCTGGCATGCTAACTTTGTCTGGATCCAAGGCACCTGAGTACCCCAGATTCTACTCCCTTCCTCTAGCTGACATTTCCTCAGGCCTTCGCCTGTGGCACTAAATGCTGTCACTGAAATGGACACCACTCACGTGGAGCATGGGCTGTTCTTGCAAGACTCTCCCCTGAAATTGTTGTTCCAGTATCTAGTTTTCTTTCTCATGAGCTATTCATGTGCTGAGTTGTTCTTGGTTAGTGCTATCTGTCTTTTCCTAATTATTGCATCTTCCAGATCCCATGTACTTAGTCATTTTTGGGGGTATGGTGGAAAGCCCTCAGTGATCCACTGGCTGAATATGAATTCAGGCTCAGCAAGATGGGCTCAGAGGCAGCCTGTCCTATTTATACCAAGGAGGAGTCAAACAGCACCCTAGGGGAGGGCGTGATGTCAGTGCTGTGTTCAAATCAGACCAGACACCTGTTCTCTTGATCTAGTGTTTTGGTGTCAAGCCTGTGGCCACACACTATTTCTGTATTTTTGTTGCCATTCATTTTTTTTGTTAGTTTTTGTTTTTGTTTTGCATTTATCTTCAGATAGAGTGGGAGGGAGAGAAGAGAGAGAGAGAAACATCGATGTGAGAGAGAGACATTAATTGGTTGCCACCTAGATGATCCCAACAGGGACTGGGGACAAACTACAACTGAGGAATGTGCCCTTAGAGGGAACCGAACCCAGGACTCTCTGGTTCACAGGCAGATGCTCTAACCACTGAGCACAGGCCATGGCTCGTTGCCAATTTTGACACTTGTTGACCTGTTAGTACTATATACTTTTCAGTTCTACACCTACATTTAGCCTATGACTAATTCTTACCTCTCCAGACTCTACATTTCATCCATTTTTCTCACTGCTCCATCTGCTGTCTTTAATATTGACTTAAATCATTTGTATTATGAAGTGTGTGCTCATTCTTAAAACAGCCCCTGACCAACAACTGCTCTGTTACAATTCTATTTTGGGGGGCCTGGATACAACCTTTTATTTATTTTGTACTTTGAAAAAAATACATTTTGTTGATTTTTTAGAGAGAGAGAGAAAGGGAGAAGGAGAGAAGTAGAAACACTGATTGGATGCCTCCTGCACGCCTTCTACTGGGGATCAAATCCACAACCCAGGCATGTGCCCTGACTGGGAATTGAACCAGCAACCTCTTGGTTCATGGGTCCTTGCTCAACCACTGAGCCACACCGGCTGGGCTGGATATAACCTTTTATATAGCACTCCTGTCTCCAGCAAACAACATTCTTTTGAAGGTTGTTTGCCTAAGAGTAAGTAGTATCTTTCACCATGTAAGGCCTTCCTCGTCCAGTGATGTGTATAGCCCAGAATTCCAAAACAGCCCCATCATCAACCTGAAACCAACTCCTGCTCCTACTCCTGCTGATAATCCCATGGACTTGTTCCTGGATTTGTCAGACACACATGGACTGCTCCTCCCATTAAAGTCAGCATGCACTTCACCAGCATTTCTTTCTTTTTTTTTTAGAGAGAGAGAGAGAAACATCAATTGGCTGCCTCCTGCATTCCTCCTACTGGGGATCAAGCCCACAACCTGGGCATGTGCCCCAATTTGGACCCCATCTGGGACCTCCCAATTCATGGGATGACGCTCAATCCACTGAGTCACACCAGCCAGGTTCACTGGCATTTCTTGTTTCAGGTTGTTGCCCTGAAGTGGAGTGTCAGGAGGATCCTTTTGGGCAGAGCGTTTCTATACAAAGAGTGTCACAGTTCCAGACTCCAAATGCAGATCTGTCTCCCAAGAAGGCTCACCACTGTGAGAAGTTTGGCTTGATCTTGAGTAACATTTTGCGTCTGGCTGAACACCAGGGACTACATGACAAGCAGAAACTGTACAGGTATGGTGTGGATGTCAGTGCAAACGTTCATCAGAAGCAGCACATTGGAAACAAACCCTTCAGAAGCCATGTGGACAGAGCCTTGTTTGTGAAGAACTGCAAAGTAAATATATTAGGGAAGACACTTACCTTTAGGGAGAATAGGAAAGACTTCTTGGCCAGCTATACATTTCTCCAGCATCAGACTGTTTATACCAAGGAGGAGTCAAACAGCAGAACTAAGTGTGTGGCAGCTTTTAAGAAAGGAAAGGCTCAACTTTTCTCAACAACATTCAACAACTGGGGAGAATGCATGAAATCCTTCAGCCACAAACACACACTTGTTCAACACCAGAGAGTCCTCACTAGAGAAAAATGTTTTCTGTACAGTGGATATGGGAAATCGTTTAGCAAAAATGGCAGTCTCATTACACATCATAGTTTTCACACTGGAGAAAGAGCTTTTCAGTCTGGGGAATGTGGGACATTATCGAACAAGTCCCACAACACGGAACCCTGGAGAGGAAACACCAGAGAAAGGCCTTATGAATGTACGGAGTGTGGGAAATCTTTTACTCGAAACTCTCACCTCATTACACATAGGAGAGTTCACACTGGAGAAAGACCTTATGGATGTGATGAATGTGGCAAATTATTTAGGTACAAGTCCAATCTCACTGTACACCAGAAAATTCACAATAGAGAAAGGCCTTATAGGTGTGGTGAATGTGGAAAATCCTTTCACCAAAAATTCAGCCTCATTTTCCACCAGAGAGTTCACACTGGAGAAAGGCCTGATCACTGCAATGAATGTGGACAATCGTTCAAGCAAAGCTCCAGCAGCAGTTCACATCAGAAAATTTACACTGGACAAAGGCCTATTGAGTGCAACGAATGTGGGAAATCCTTTAGTTGCAAATCAAACCTCATTAAACACCTCAGAGTTCACACTGGAGAAAAGCCTTACCAGTGTGGGGAATGTGGAAAATCCTTTAGCCAAAGTTCAAGTCTTATTCAACACCAGCGAGTTCACACTGGAAAAAGACCTTATGAATGTAGTGAATGTGGGAAAGCCTTTGCTGCAAACTCCAATTTTATTAAACACAGGAGAGTTCACACTAGAGAAAGACCTTATGTATGTAATGAATGTGGAAAACCATTTCGTCAAATCTCTGCCTTCCATTATCATCAGAGAGTTCACAATGGAGAAAGACCTTATGAGTGCAATGAATGTGAGAAATCCTTTGTTGCATACCTCAGCCTCATTAACCATAGGAGAATTCACACTAGAGAAAGGCTTTGTAAGTGAAGCAGATGTGGGAAATTCTTGAACTGAAGCTCTTTGTTCCTTCATCATCAATAATTCACACTGTACCATGCCTAATAAGTACAGTGAATGCGGGAAATCCTATTAATCAAAACTTATTGAACACCGAGGCCATTATTCACATTGGATAATGGCCTTATGAGTGTGGTGAATGTGAGAAAGCCTTCAGGTTAATCTCATTGAAAACTACAAAGTTTACATGAGATAAACAGCTTAGATATGTAGGGAATGTGTTATTCAGTATAACACCATTTTTTAATGTGCCATTTGCCTGTATTAAACCTCGTATATTTGAGCACCCTAGTAAATTCAGGTATGTGGCAATAGCATTGCACTTTTTGAAAAAAAATGTTTTTATTGATTTTTTAAAGAGAAAGGAAGGGAGAGAGAGAGAGAGACATCGATCAGCTACCTACTGTACACCCCCAACTGGGGATCAAGCCCATAACCCAGGCATGTGCCCTGACCGGGAATCGAACCAGGCCCTCTCAGTCCATGTGTTGATGCTCAATCCACTGAGCCACATCAGCCAGGCACATTGCACCTTTTATTTTTTTATTTTTTTATCCTCACCCGAGGACATTTTTTTCCCATTTTTGCTCAGACAGAGTGGGAGGGAAAGAGAGGAAGAGAGAGAGAGAGAGAAACATCGATGTGAAATGGACACATCGAGTGGCTGCCTCCCACACAACCCCAACTGGGTCCAGGGACAAACTGCAACCGAGGTACATGCTTTTAGCGGGAACCGAACCTGGGTCTCTCTGGACCGCAGGCTGACGCTCTGACCGCTGAGCCAAACCGGCCAGGGCCACATTGCACCTTTTAAATGCCCAGGATTATTGCCAGATTTATGTCACTGCCAGTTCTATAGCAAAAGCCCTTTCACCTCTACCACTTGGCTGGTGCCCACATCACTCACCCACCTCAGTACATCCAGGGAAGGAAACCTTGGCATTCTTTCATTCACAGGAGGGATTTTTGTGAAGCCTAAGCACACATTTCTGATAAGTTAGGCTATGGACCAGGCTTACTTTTAGCTCAGAGACTCTGCTAGTGACTTGCAAAGATTAATGACCTTTTCCAGGAGTGCCATTGATCTCATATGGCTATTATGGTGGAACTATTTCATCTTTTATTTATGAACTTAAGGACAGCCTACCTCCTATTGTGCTGACTTATGTGACAATGAATGATGACTTTATTGTTCAAGCTCATTTAACTTGGGGCTATAAACTGTATGTGGTGGTTTGAAAACAAGTGGATTCTTCCAGCACAAAGAAGTGGTTGGGTTCTGTTGGGATCCTGAACTTTGTGTGTCTCAGAAGGGATAGTATGATGGCTCAGAGAATATTACCATCTCTGTAGTTTGGGCCTAGTTTCTGTTGCTGGCCTAGTTTAGTTGCTGTAATTTTTAGCCTACATGCTGTATTTTATGGGTTTAGAAGTCAATCTGTGGAGGGGACAGTTGTTGTGATAACCCTTAGTATTTCTGGAGCAAAATGAACTTGTTCACAGTGGGTGTTGCATCGTGCTCAGCACTGGTGAGAGAAATCTGTTCTCCAGGTCCTCAGAGGAGCCATATACCCCAATGTCCAGCATTCTTAAGGTAGTGTAGTTGTAAAATTATAGAGGGAATTGTATTTATCACAGAAATACTGGATTTATAGGAAGTGGATGAAGGAGAATTGAACACACTGGTTATAATGTTCCTCTTGTGAAGGGGCATCCCCAGTGTGCCAGTCACAGTGGCTATGAAGGATGAGCAGGTAAATAATGTCTCAGGACAACTGAAGTTGTTTTCTGGTTGTCACCAAATTTCCTGGCATTGTCTAATACTGAAGCATTTGAAAATACCAGCTTGCTGCTATGCTTTAGAAGTTGGTTACCAGAAAGCTGTCTTCATCTGTGATTATGGATCCACAGAGTTGGGAGAGCTGTGCTATGGGAAGAGGCAAGTTAGAAGACAAAGGCTATTTTAAAGAGAGAAAGTTCTTACAAGTTTTTGAAGGTAAATGCTCAAAGAACAGGGAGGGGGCCCTGGCCGGTTTGGCTCAGCATTGGAGCGTCAGCCTGCAGACCAGAGAGTCTCGGGGTTGGTTTCTGCTAGGGGCACGTACTATACAAAAAAAAAAAAGAACAACAAAAAGGGAAGGGAAATTTATTTCCCAATTTTCAATGAAGAATTAAATCTCTTATTTTTAAAATTTATATTGAATAAAATACCTTGTATGTGACACACCTGGAAACAAGTAGTGTGAACTATGTTTTGCTACCATACTGACAGCTTGGAAACAAAATGTTCCAGGTACTGGATGTGACACATCTGGGGACCTTATGTACTGTGTATGTGATATTGGTACTCTGGCAGCATGTAGGAAACCTCACAACATGGCCACACAGTGTGGCAGGTGTGGATGGGATGCTATCATCTGTCAAATGTGACAGATTGCAGGCTTTATCGTAGATGACAGGCCTAGTCTAGGCCATTTAGGTGGTGGTTGGTCTAGTTCCCCAGTGGTTTGAGGAATATTCTTAGGGACTAACAATCATTGTCAGTCTTTTTCAAAAAGAGTGTTAAGGGCCCTGGCCGGTTTGGCTCAGCAGTTAAGAGTGTCGGCCTGCAGTCCAGAGAGACCCGGGTTCGGTTCCCGCTAAGGGCATGTACCTCGGTTGCAGTTTGTCCCCGGCCCTCGTTGGGTTGTGCAGGAGGCAGCCTCTCCATGTGTCCCTTTCACCTCTCTCTCTCTCTCTCTCTCTCTCTCTCTCTCTCTCTCTCTTTTCCACTCTCTCCCTACCACTCTATCTGAACAAAGAATGGAAAAATGTACTCAGGTGAGGATAAAAAAAAAAAAGTGTGTTAAGGTATTTCTTTGCCTTTTTTTTGAAATATGTTTTTATTGATGTTTTAGAGCAGAAGTGGGAGAGAAACATTGATTGGCTGCTGCACACCCCCTGCTAAGGATGGAACCCACAACCAAGTGGGTTCCATCCATAATGGGGATATAGAAGAAGCAACCAATAAATGCATACATAAGTAGAATAACAAATTGATGTCTTTCCCTTTCTCTCTCTAAAAATCAATTAAAAAAAAAAAAAAAAGCCATGGGGACAGGAACTGCTGAGGACAGGAACTGACCATCCTCAGTATCTCGCAATGTGCATGATGGTAAGTGCTTTCTCAGTGACAACTAAGTACTGGGGCAATGATTGAAGAGAACACACTGGATAAATGTTAGGAGGAAAACCAACAGCATGTTGAGGATAAGTCTTTGTATGTGGTGGTGAGGGCCAGTGATGTGTTTGGGATGACACCAGTGATCCTATTGTGGGCACCTGGGTGTCAGTGCTGCCATCCATGGGAACAGTCCTCAGGAGGGAAGTGAGTTCTCCTGAAAGACTGTGTGCCCATGGAGGAGGGACTGGGGGCCTCTGGTACAGCAATCATGAGCCCAAAATATGCAGCTTTTGCATATTATTTTGAGCTAAAGGCACCTGAGAAACAGAAGATGCATGTAAGTCTCACTGCGCCCCCTTTTCTAATTAAAAACAGGTCATAAGCCTGGCTGTTGGTGGTCAGTGGTTAATCATCACCCATGCACCAAAAGGTTGCCAGTTCGATTCCCAGTCAAGACACATACCCAGGTTTTGGGCCAAATCCCAGTGTGGGTCATGCAGGAGGTGGCCATTTGATGTTCTGTCTCATTGTTGTTTCTATCCTCCTCCCTCTCTAAAATCAATAAAGAAAAAAGTTTTTTAAAATTCCTACTTTTTTTAAAAAAGCAGGTCATAAAATTTCCCGAGAGAGGTGCCTTCCCTGCACCAGGAAGAGAACATTTTCATCAGAGGAGTCCATGCCAAATGCATCCACATAAACAAACTGATAGTTACCAGATGGGAGAGGGGATGGGTGAAAAAGGTAAAGGGATTAAGAAGTACAGATGACTAGTTACAAAACACACGAGGATGTAAAATACAGGGAAAATAGTCAGTATTGTAATAACTGTATGGTGCCAGGTGGGTAGTAGGAATATCAGGGGGATCACTTTGTATATTATATAAATGTCTAGTCAATATGTTATTTACCTTAAACTAATATAAAGTAATATTGAATGTCAACTATAATTGAAAAAAATTTAACTATTTTGTCACTACTACCTTTCAGGAGACGGTTTCTGGGTTCTGAGATTTACTCATAGTCACCATCACACAACATCTGCTAGGAACAAACCTCACCCATCTCATCGATCTAGTGTTCAGAATTATGAGGAAGGGTGATCAGTTAAACAATATCAGAGACTCAGTAACCCACATCTAGGATGTGCCAAATTCTGATGACAAAATGACTTGGCATATTCAACAAACAATAAGAATAAAAGTGATAAAAACAGAACTTTATTACTTTATTAACATGTACATGTCACATAAATGTGAGCGAGGTCAGCGCCCAGTCACTCAAACAGATGGCTTAGCACTCTCAGAAAAATTTCAATTAATAACAATACATTTTAAAAGAAATAACAAGACAGAGGAATAGTACCTTGAGTTTCTTTTATTTATTTTTTTCAATAACAGTTGACAGTCAATATTATTATTTATCCTCACCCGAGGAATTTTTTTGTTTTTTCTTCAGATAGAGTAGGAGGGAGAGAGAGAAAGAAACATCGACGTGAAAGAGACACCTGGAGTGGTTACCACCTGCACAACCCAACCAGGGTTGAGGACAAACTGCAACCGAGGTACATGCCCTTAGCGGGAACCGAATCTGGGTCTCTCTGGATCGCAGGCTGACGCTCTAACCGTTGAGCCAAACCGGCCAGGGCAATATTATTATTTTTTAACTTTTTTTACCCTCTTGATTTTTTAGAGAGAGAGGAAGTAAGAGAGAGAGAGAGATAGAAACATCAGTGAGAGAGAACACCGATTGGCCACCTCCTGTATGTCCCCCACTGGGAATCGGGCCCACAACCTGGGCATGTGCCCTGACTGGGAATCCAACAGGCGACCTCTTGGAGCATGGCTCCACCACTGAGCCACACTGGCCGGACTACAGTCAATACTGTTTTATATTAGTTTCAGATGTGCGGTATAGTGATTAGACATATAATTTATGAAGTGACCATTCTGATAAGTCTAGTACCCACCCACCAGATACCATACACAGTTAGTACAATATTATTAACTGTATTTCCCATGATGTACTTTACATCCTCATGAGGACCTTGAATTTCTAAGGGCAGCAACTTATGGGAAGGCAAGTATTCAGGGAAACTATTCCTTAGCGGGATAGTTGGTAAAGTTTATTCAGGGCGGAGAACACCTCAGCCTCCCTCCTCCAGCCTCCAGCCTCCAGCCCGCTGGGAACTACATTACCCAGAAGCGTCTGCGCAGAGAAGCCCGTGGGCAGCCAATGAGGGGCCAGATGAGGCGTTTCCGGGCGTCCATATAGCGTCGGGGCAGGACCCCGGCTTGCTAAGCATGGTGGCCCTTCTTGCTGCTCTGACTCTGTGCTGGCTTCTGACTACTGGGTCCAGCTTGAGGTGACAGGACCCTAATTACGCGAGAGCCCCGGTGCCGCCGCACAGACGCGGGTCTGAGGTTCGGTGAGTCCGCCGGGGCCGGACAAGGACCGCCGTGCGCGGGCCCCTCCTCGTCCGCCGCTCCCTCCGCTCTGCCCGCAGAGTCCGATGGCGGCGGCCGCGCTGAGGCGCCCGGCTGAGGTGAGAGAGCCAGTCCCCCGGCCTCCCCGCCCCGATCCCCGCAGGCGCCCGTCACGTCCTGCAGCCCAGGCTCGGCGTGCGGACCGTGAGCGCTCGTGGGTGACACACGGATACGGGGTGGGAGGGATGACAGGCCGAGGGGTCGCCGAGTAAACTCGCGCGGGGGCCACTGACTCGTGAACCAGAGGTCCTGTCAGCGGGGAGCCAGAGAGAGGGAGGCGGAGTGACCCCTGGAATAGGAGACTGAACTTGACCCTCACTGTGAGGTCCCCAGAAGCCAGGGGGAGTTTTGAACGCGGAGAGACACCATCTCCGTTTGTGTTTTAAGTTTCTCAAAGGCAGTTCCAGGGAAGGACAGACCCGAGAGGGTGATGCGGACAGTGAGGTTCGACACCAGCGCGAGGTCACCGATCTTCAGGGCCAGGAAGGGGGACCAGGAGGTGTGAGCCCTTGGAATCTCACCCTGGACCGATTTCTCTGCGGCCTCCCTCTTCCTGGTGGTTACATTCCTGCGGAAGTGCTTATGAAGCCACAGGGGAGTGGAGGGTGGCCCAGACCCACAATGGCCCCGACCTCCACCCACATTTTTCTATGGATTGTTTTTTTCCTTAGAGTCCTTTTTTTTTCTTTATTGACTTTAGAGAGAGGAAGGGAGAGAGAGAGATGGAAACTGTTGTGGTGCGAGAGAACCGAGAGACCACCAGAGCCAAATTAAAGCAAAATAGAGAGCAAAGCCAGCCTGCGACTGATCCCCTTATCGGAGATCAGCTCCCAGTTATTGGAGATCAGCCCCAACTTTCAGCTGATTTTTAATTGTATCCGGGGTTTGTTACAAACTACTGCAGCTGGCATTTCTTATCGGCCTTGGGGAAGAGCAAGCAAGTACAGAAGCAGAGGCAGTTAGCGATAAGCAGGAAGGAACAGAGGTGGGAGGGAGCTGAGGCGGAAGGGAACTGGGTGAACTGGGTCAGCACACATCTATCCTGCTATTCATTCTATTATCTAAGTTCTAAAAACTAAGAAATTCGCTTAGAGGACAAATTCATTTAGAGGAGTACCAGGCCAGCTGGTACTTCCTCAGGTTGCTTCTGAAAGCTTCATAGTTGGCCTTTTGTTTATTTAATCAGGACAAAGTGATAGGATCAGGCCAGTACAGAAACATGGATGAGAGGGAACATGGATTGGTTGCCTCCTGCATGTCCCCCACTGGGAATTTGGTCCACAACCTGGGTACTTGCCCTGACCGGAACCGACAGACGACCTCTTGGTGCGTGGGTGGGCGCTCAAGCATTGACCCACACCAGCCGGTTTTTTTTTTTTTTTCAATCTTCACCCATGGATTTTTTTCATTTATCTTCAGATAGAGTGGAGAGGGGTGGAGGTGGGAGAGAAACATCAGTTGTTTGCCTCCCATACACATCCTGACCATGCATGGAACTCACAACCTAGGTATGTGATCTGACTGGGAATCGAGCCCACCACTTTTTGGTGCTTGGAACAATGTTCCAACCAACTGAGCCACCCAGCCAGGGCAGAGTCTTTTAAAAAATATATATTTTAAATTATAGTTTACATACAAGATGTTATTAGTTTCAGGTGTGTACAACATAGTGATTCAACATTTTTATATCTACCTGGAGTCTTTTTTTTTTAAATCCTCACCGAAGGACATTTTTTTTTTTGCATTCATCTTCAGATAGAGCGGGATGGGGAGAGAGAGAGAAACATCCACGTGAGAGAGACACATGGAGTGGTTGCCACCCACACGACCCCAACCGGAGCTGGGGACAAACTGCAACCAAGGTACGTGCCCTTAGCAGAACCGAACCCGGGATTCTCCGGTCTATGGGCCGACACTCCAACCACTGAGCCAAACTGGCCAGGTCTCTACCTGGAGTCTTAAGTGTCATTCCCCATGACCTGTGGTCCAGAGATCTTGGAGAAACCCCAAACCTGCCTGGAATTGTAAGTTTTTGTCAGGCTTTATATGGGGATATGCCTGTTGTTGGCAACCATTGTGTAAAGTACGGAGGGTTATTTTGGGAACTGATGCCAGGATGTGCAGATGCTCAAAGGTCTAACTCAGCTGGGAGTGATCAGGAAGCCACGGGTCTCCTTTTTTTCATGTGGGAAGAAGCAGCAGGGTGCAGGAGTCCGGGCTGGAATGGCTGCCTGAGAAGTTGGGCGCCTATTCTGGAGGTAATTGGAGGTTTGGGTCAGAGGTGGGTGGTGTCTTCAGACGTCTTACCAGCCTCCGGTTGGCTGTACAGTGGCTGTAGACTGGGGGTGAGGAAGGAGAAAGTCAAGTCAGGCTGCAGGCTACTACTAACTCCAGGTGGGGATTAATGTACCAGAATGGTAGCTTAGGAAAAGTATTTGGACTGTGGATGCATGTTTGAAAAATGGGCAACTAGATTTTCTAATGTAGAGGGAGAGTTGCTGTGAAACACAGGACTCAGGAATGACCCCTGTTTTTAGCACATGTAGGAATGGATGCTCCATCATCCAAGTTTGGGGAGATTACAATAAGAGAGGAATTCACTGAGGATATCAAGATCTTTGCTTTGTCCATGTTAAGAGGTTAAGGTGTTTCTAAGACCACTGAGTGGAAGCATGGATTGGGCAGCTGGACACACAGGTCTGGAAATCTGGAGAGGATGAACCCAGGTGAGTGAGCTGTGTTCATACCTAGGAGGGTTAATCTTCAGGTTATGGTGTTAAAGCTATCGGGGGGACAGGTTGAGGAGCGTGAAGTCTGTGAACTAGGTCTCTTGCTTGAGTACCTGAGTGATGGTTTTGGGCTTCTCAAAGTCAGGCGAGGCAGTTAAGTGGCCATGAAGGGAGGACATGCTGAGGATATTGTAGTCTGGCAGGTGACCTGGGCCTTCCAAGGGGAGAATGGACATGAGATAGACGCAGAGGCGTGGAAGTCATTGAAACAAGATGACTCTTGGGCCAGAACTGGTACTTATTCTCCATGCTCTGTACCCACCAGAATTTGGCTGCAATTTTGATGGGGCCTGGAGTGTTTTGTTTTTCCTGGAGGATCAGATCAGGACACATAGGATCATCTATTAGAGGCACTAGGCATGAAGTGGGCTTTGAATTGGGTAAGATGAGCAGAGGAATTTTTTACTACTGAGGGACAGCAAGTACAGCACATAGTGGAAGAGAGTCATTTTTGTGTGAGTCTGAGATCCACACATGATTCAGTGTGGCTAAGTCCGAGGCAAGGAACCAAGCCAGACAGGGAGGCCTTTGTGGAAGTATTTGGAGCTGCCACCACTTGTGGGAACAATGGGAAGTCTGTGGTAATAGTGGGTTTGTCCAGCATACTCTGTGTTATCTACTAAGTTGTAGTGTAAAGTCTGACATTAAGTTCTGATGTTATGTGCTGCCTTGACATCTGGTGAAACCTGGAGGGCCTCAAATGCCATGAATGCAAGTTTTCTTCTTCATTTTGCTCCTGTGGATAAGTTCTATTAGCTAAGCAGTTCTTTTTATATTCCAGGCCCAGTTCATCCTTATCTCTTTGTGTTAAGTTTCAGTACTCTACCAGCCCTTGGAGTTATTCACACCAACCAGTCGAATCATGCTGGAACCCAAGGGCACCTCACCATCCTGATACTATGTTTCCATCCTACAGCCCCTGGTTGTTTATTCTTTTCCATAGTACAACCCCATGTAGTCTTGTGTGGTGTTTTCCCCTCCCAGGCTGTGAATTTATGTGATTAAACCGCTGTCAATCTCAACTCACCAGTGTTAGGTGTCATATGGTTTTCTCCATAAACCTAAGGAAGGATCTCACTGTCAGCAGTGTGGAAGAGAGAAGGAGGTCATTAAGTTACAATAGCATGTGAGGAGGCCAGGGAAAAGCCTATGGTGTGGGGCAGTGAGATGATGAAGGCCGTGGGCATGTGGCCGTGCTGTCCAGAGATGTGGCAGGTGTGCAGGCTAAAGAATTGTCTGCACTTGGAGCGGGAGTGTGTCTGATGGCTCCAGGGCCCTTGTATTGACATTCACATGACTTTGGTCATCCCAGAGGAATTGCCTGGTGGGAGCTGGTGGAATCCTCTATTCCAGGCCCACAGTCTAGATATCTGTTTGTTCACCTTCCTTATGTTGCTGATGGCTGGCCCTCAAGACCAGTGAGTTCATGAGAAGATAACAGTGTAATTGGCACCAGGACGTGCTTTTTCCACTGAGTTCGGGAGCTTGGGAGGAGAATGGGAATGGGCCAAATATAAAGGGGAAGGGATTATAGGTCCTTAGGAAGGGGCTGTTTTTGGTTTCATCTGTCCCCATTATGATAGGACAGTGTGACCTTTGATGACGTGGCCGTGTACTTCTCCTGGGAGGAATGGGATCTCCTTGATGAGGCTCAGAGACGCTTGTACCAGGATGTGATGCTGGAGAACTTGGCACTTATAACCTCCCCGGGTAAGATCCTCACACCCACCTCTGTGCTCTGAGCTAGTCTCTGTCCTTTCCTTTTCCCCAGAAAGAAGTCTGTCCTTCTCATATAGGACCATGAGCACTGCTTTCTTATACAGTTTCCCTGGTAGGTGTTGTAGTTGGTTTGGCTGAGATGTGTGCACTGCCCTGTTCTTGAACATGCCCAACACCTGCTTCATCTGTCTGCCATGGAAGGTCCCAGGGTCAGTCGTCCTGCAGTCAGTTATGGAACCCACCTTGCATGCCATCGCCTTAGCCAGGCAAATTCATCCAGATCCAATTCAGTTGCACCCAAGGATTAACTTCTTTCTGGCTAACAATTTTTGATGCCTGCTTATGCTGGGAATTGTCATCAGTTACATTGTCACTGCTTATATGGACAATGGGCTGTTCTTATAAGACTCTCCTCAGAAGTTGTCTTTGTAGTATTTAGTTTTCTTTCCTGTGGCTATAGTGCTCAGTCCTTCATGGCTGCTCATCTCTTTTACTTCCCTGAGTACTTGCATCATGTAGATGCTGTGTAGTTGTTCATCTTGGGAATGGGGTGAAGAGCCCTTGCTGATTCTCAGGATGGGTATGAGTCTATCCATAGTAAGATGGACTCAGAGGGAGCCTGGTCCTGACAAGTGGCACCCTGGGGGAGTGCTTGATGTCAGGGTTGTGTTGTGTTGAAACCATACCAGAGTCCTGGCCAGTTTGGCTCAGCGGTTAGAGCATCGGCCTGTGGTTCAGAGAAACCATACCAGAAACCTATATTCTGTTTGAATCCTTTTTGGTTCCAAAGCCAACAGCTACATTTCATTTCAGCATTTCCATCCAACTAACATTCTTCCACATGTCAATTCTCTTCTTACACCAGCCTGTGGGCTAACCCTCACTTCTCTGGACTCCACATCTCATGCTTTGTTCTTGCTGCTCCATCGGCAGTGCTATCCAGCATTGGCCTCTGCATATTATGTCACAATGTGCACACATGTTCTTAGGCAGTCACTGAATGCCAGCTGCTCTGGTGTAGTTGTGCATTCTCTACCCCTGGCATGCCCTTCTGCATAGCACTCAGGTATTGGGTGCAGACAATATCCTGCTGAATGTTTTCAAATAAACGAGTACTAGCCACTGCCTTCACCTTGTAATACTTCCTGCCTCATTTTGTGCTTAAAAAAAAAAATGTTTTTATTGATTTTGGAGAAAGAGATAGGGAGAGGAAGAGAGAGAGAGAAACATCAATGGCAGCGAAACATCTATTGCCTGCCTCCTGCATGCCCCCTGCTGGGGTCGAGCCCACAACCTAGGCATGTTTCCTAACTGGGAATCAAACCACTAACTTCCTGGGATATGGGTCGATGCTCAACCACTGAGCCACACTGGCCTGGCCATTTGTGCTCTTTATAGCCTCGTACTTTCTACTCAGCACAGAGGTAGTACCCAGCAGCAGATAGGTCTTACTAAAATTTGTTTACAGAGAAATGATTTGTAGATCCTGTCTCTCCTCCTTGTGCTGTGTCCTTGGCTGTGTCCTTCACTTCATGAGGCTTCCCACCTTCTGTGATCCTATAGCCCAACACTGCTAAGTAATCCTCAACCTGAACCCAACTCCATGCTTCAGTACACATTCTGTGGGCTGTCCTGATTGTGTAAGACACGCACTTGTGTACAGGGTGCCCCACAGTCAACATGCACTTTACCAGTATTTCTTTTATTTTAGGTTGTTGGTGTGGGCCAGAGGATGAGGCATCTGAGCAGACTGTTTCTATAGAAAGAGTGTCACAGGTCAGGATTCCCAAGGTAAATCTGTCTTCGCAGAGAGTCAACCCATGTGAGAGGTGTATCCCAGTACTGAAAGATATTTCACACTCGGTTGAGCACCAGGGAACGCATCATGGACAGAAGCTGTGCAGGCTTGGACCATGTGGGAAACAATTATATTTCAGTGCAAACCTCCCTCAGCACCAGATACAGAACATTGGAGAGAAACCCATTACAGCCAATGTGAACAAAGCCTCCACTGGGAATGACTGCAAACTTCATGTGTTTGGGAAGCCCTTTAACTGCTGGAATGTTGGGAAGGACGTCCTGGCCACTGCAGGATTTCTCCAGGTGCAAAGCACTAACACTGAAGAAAATTCTAACACTGGAACCAGTTGTCTGGCAGCCTTTCCCAGGCAAAAAACTCGTCACAACCCTCAAGAACGCACAAAAACTTTGAGGTACAAACACACAGTTGTTCATCAGCAAAGAGTCCTCAACAGAGAAAGATGTTACATATGTAATGAATGTGGGAAATCCTTTAGCCAAAGCTACAGCCTCATTAGACATCAGAGAATTCACATGGAAGAAAGGCCCTATGAGTGCAGGGAATGTGGGAAATCCTTTAGCAAAAGCTGTACCCTCAGTAACCATCTGAGAGTTCACACTGGAGAAAGGCCTTTTTTATGTTGGGAATGTGGGAAAACCTTTACTCATAGCTCTAACCTCATGAAACACCAGAGAGTTCACACTGCAGAAAGGCCTTATGAATGCAAGGAATGTGGGAAATTCTTTATCTACCGGTCCATTCTCTTAGAACACCAAAGAGTTCATACTGGAGAAAGGCCTTATGAGTGCAGTGAATGTGGGAAATCATTTAGCCAAAGATCCCACCTCAATAACCATGGGAGAATTCACACTGGAGAAAGGCCATATGAATGCTGTGATTGTGGGAAATCCTTTAGCCATAGCTCTAGCCTCATTAAACATCAGATAGTTCACAGGGGAGAAAGGCCTTATGAGTGTGGGGAATGTGGGAAATCCTTTTACCAAAATTCTAGCCTCATTCAACACCAGAGAGTTCACACTGGAGTCAGGCCTTATGAATGTGGTGAATGTGGAAAATTATTTAGTAACAAGTCCAACCTCAATAAACATTGGAGAGTTCACACTGGAGAAAGGCCTTATGAGTGCTGTGAATGTGGGAAATCTTTTAGCCAAAGCTCTAGTCTCATTCAACACCAGAAAGTGCACACTAGATAATGGCTTTATGAGTGATATTAAAAACTAAATGTTTATTCCCCTCTCCTCAATATGTTGAAACCCTGTGCCCTAATATGATAGTATTAAGGGGTGAGGCCTTTGGGAGGTAATTAGGACAAAAGTTGGTCATGAGGGTAGAGCCCGCATGAATGGCATTAGTGTCCTTATAAGAGTCAGGAAAGCTTGGTTCCTCACTGGACAGTGGACCTGGCCATATGAGGACCATGACGTCAGACGTCCAGCCTTCAGAAGTGTGAGAAATACAGTTCTGTTGTTTATAAGCCTCCTGGTTTAACATAGTATTTTATAACAGCCCAAGCTAAGAGAAATGTGCAGAATATGGGTAATATTTAACCCAGGGGTGGGGAACATCCAGCCTTGAATATAAGACCCTCAAAATCAATACCAGCTAACAACACATGCCTCACCAAAGAGAAGCAGTTCCAGCCATCTCACAGGGGTGAGTTAGTTAAATGTTTGACCAAATATAGCAGGCTAATTATTTTAGTTGTTAATTTTGTATGACCTGCAAATGATATTATACATTTCCAAATGGCCCTTGGCAGAAAAAAAAAGTTCCCCAACTCAGCTTCAACCAAAGATGCAGTCTCATAAATATCAGAAAATTCACACTGGAGCAAGGCCTTTGAGTGCAGTGAATGTCAGAATTCCTTTAGCCAGTCGTCTGTCTTCATTCCCCACTTTAGAGTTCACACTGCCTAAAAGCTTTAAAGTAGCAGAGAATGTGGTATTTCTTTGCTTCGTACAATTACACTGGAGGAGAACCTTTGTGAGTCAGCTGTTTACCTGAATTGAAATTTGTATGTCTGAATGTCCATAGTGGGGTGATTTCCCATATGTTCCAGCTGCTTGGAAAATGTTTCGAAGCTGCATTGTGCTTTCCAACCTCCCCGGATTCCTGGCTAGATTTAAGTCATTGCTAGTTTCTGTTACAAATAATTTCACGTCTGCCACCTGGCAGGTCCTGACGGTGTACATCAGTCACCACCCTACATGCTTAGGGAAGCTGACCTCTGTGTTCTGTCATTGTTTATGGAAGTGATGGATAAGCGGAACCCATAGGAATACTCATTCCCTTCTAATTTAGGGCATGGATGCGACCCAGTGTTGACTGAAGAGTACCTGATCTGAGTTCTGGGTGGTAACTTGCAAATAAAGACTACATCTGTTAGGAACATTGTTGGTTTCACATGAGGCTTGTGATAAATCTTTGCAGCTTTGAAGTCTCTGATCAGGAATTGTTTACCACATTTTTCTTTGGTTTATGCAATAATAAAGACCTTTTAGTTTTATTACCTTTAAACTTGGGTGTTCTATTCACTCTAAAGGGTGGTTTCAAAGGAGAATTGTGCCCTGCCAGCATGAAGGGGTGAACAGATTTCATTGGATCCCAAGCTTCCTGTTTTAGAAAAGACAATATAATTGCAAATGAATAAAGGCTCTCCACTTTTTTTTTGTTCAGATAGTGGGAGGGAGGGAGCGCGAGAGAGAAACATCAACGTGAAAGGGACACATCGAATGGTCGCTACCCACACGACCCAACCAGGGCCAGGGACAAACTGCAACTGAGGTATGTGCCCTTAGCGGGAACCGAACCCGGGTCTCTCTGGGCCGCAGGCTGATGCTCTAACCGCTAAGCCAAACCGGCCAGGGCTCCACTTCTCTGTCTTAACTTGCATAATGTCCCAATGCCTTTGTTGTAGGCTGAGTTGTGTACTCCAAAATTCCTATGTTGAAATCCTAACCCCCAGCACCTAAAAATACGACTATATTTGGATATAACTTTTTATTTTTCTTATTTTATTATACTCACCCGAGGACATTTTTTCATTTTTTTGTTCAGATAGAGTGGGAGGGAGAGAGAAAGAGCGAAACATCGACATGTAAGGGACACATTGAGTGGTTGCCACCCGCACAACCCAACCAGGGCCGGGGACAAACTCTAACCGAGGTACATGCCCTTAGCGGGAACCGAACCCCGGTCTCTGCACCGCAGGTTGATGCTCTAACTGCTGAGCCAAACTGGCCAGGGTGGATATAACTTTTTTAAAAATACTAAGTTAAAATGATATCATTAGGGTAGACACTTGTGAAATATGAAAGGTTTCCTTAACAGAAGAGATGAGGACACATACACACAGAAGACCACCATCTGCAAGCCAAAGAGAGACGACTTATGCCCTGGCCCATTTGGCTCAGCGGTTGAGCCTTGGCCTGCGGGCCAGAGAGTCCCAGTTTCGGTTCCTGCTAGGGGCACGTACCACGAAAAAAAAGAGAGACGACTTAGGAAACCAACCCTGCTGACTCTCAGATTTCTAGAGTACATATACAATGTAAAATAAATTTCTGTTGTCTAAGCCACCCAGTTGGTAGTACTTGGTTATGGCAGTTCTTGCTGACTAATATAACCTACAAGGAGACATATCTGGACTTTGTGGTCTCAATGCCAAGATTTTTTGTGGTCTCAGAGGTCATCCTGAAAAAGGAGCAATTGTGACACCTCCAGTGCTTCTGGAAATACCATGGATGTTTTGCTTGTTCACAGTTTATATAATGCCAGGTAATGTAAGTGGAGTCTCTTCCCCAAATCCTTCAACAAAGCTATGTGCCCTGATGTACAGAATTCACTTGTAACACTACTGGGGCATGGGAACCATAAAGGGTAATCCCAAAGACTGGATAAATAGGAAGTAGAGGAGACTCAGCCATGTAGATGGGATGTGTTTGCTTCAAAAAAATGCTTCACATATATTCCAGGAACTGTGCAGGACTAGTGTGCACAGGAATTCTCCAACCTTCACACCAGTGTATCTTGTTCTTGTGTAACAGATCATTGTAAGATGAAACAACCTAAAGATTTTTTGGAGTCCCATTCCCTTCCTGGGCTGTCCATCTCATCAAGGCCATTGCTGTGCAGGCAGGAAAGCAGGGATAAAGAGAAGGAAGATTTCATAGTCCAAGGATGTGACTTTTTGTGACCCAGCCTAGCCAGTGTTCCTGTTGACACAAGTGGAAATAGCCTTCATTGCTCTTGGTCTGCCACTGAAGCCAGACTGACCTTGCTAGAACAGAAGTGCTTGAATCAATACGGAGTTATCATAGCTTAGTTTTGAACAGTTTTTATTTTATTTTTTGCATTTATCTTCAGATAGAGCAGGAGAGAGAGGGTGGAAGAGACAGAGAGAAACATAGATGTGAGAGACATTGAGTGGCTGCCACCCACACGATCCCAACCGGGGCCAGGGACAAACTGCATCCAAGGTATGTGCCCTTAGTGAGAACCAAACCCAGAACTCTCCAGTCCACAGGCCCACGCTCTAACAGCTGAGCCAAACCAGCCAGGGCAATTTTGAACAGTTTTTAAATGATTATTAAGGTACAATTGACAGTAAATATTTTAAATTTACAATTTGATAAGTTTTCCCCCACATATAAACCTTTGAACACGTTATAGACATCATAATGAATGTGTCTATCGCTTGTATATTTGCCTCCTGTCCTTTTATAATCTCTTTTCATGCCCTTCCTGGTCCTCCCAGTAATCACTGATTTACTTTCTTTACAGTAAATTAGTTTGCATTTTCTAGAATTTTATGATTGTAGTCATAAAGTGTTTACTCATTTTTATCCCAAGATCTGTATGCACCATCTGGTTTTGAAATTTATCAGTGGTGCTTATATGAGCAGTTCATTCTTTTTATTACCAAGTACTATTTTGTTCTCTGGATATGTTCCACTGTTTTTATCCATCTGTTTTGGAGCATTTGGGTTATGTCTAGTTTTGGGTTATTGCAAAAAATGCTGCTTTGAACATTTTCACTACACTTCTTTTTGCGGAGAGATGTTTTCTCTCACTTCTGGTACAACTCAAAATGCAATGCCTAACACTCAGGGTAGGTAAGTGTTAAAATTTTAAAGAAATTGGCAATCTCTGATCTAAAATGATCATTCCTGTTTACATTCCCACTAGCAGTATATGAGTCCCTGTTCCTCCACATACCTGCTAGTACTTCATATGGTCAGTCTTTATTATTTTATCTTTTAATCCTCACCTGAGGATATGTATATTGATTTTAGAGAGAGAAATATCGATTCATTATCTCCTATAAGCGCCTTTACCTGGGATCAAGCTCTCCACCTAGGTAGGGAATTGAACCCGCAATCATTTGGTATATGGGACAACTCTCCAACTGAGTCATCCGGCCTGGGGATGTCTTTATTTTTATTTTGTATGGTCAGTCTTTAATGTTAGCGCTTTTAGTAAATGTGTAGTACTATCTCAGTGTGGTTTTAATCACATTCCCTAAGATTTGTGACTTTGAGCATTTTCTCATGTTTTTGTTTATGACCCCCCCCTTTTTTTTTTCTATTTTTTAAATTCCTCACCCGAGGATATTTTTCTATTTATCATTAGATAGAGTGGGAAGGAGGAAGAGTGAGAGAGAAAAAGAGAAACATCGGTGTGATAGAGACACATAGACCAGTTGTCTCCCACACAAGCCGACCAGGGCCAAGGACAAACCGCAACCAAGGTATGTGCCCTTGACCAGAATCAAACCCATGACTCAATGGTCTGTGGGCCAACGCTCTAACCGCTTAGCCAAACTGGCCAGGGCTATTTATGACCTTTAAATGACTCAATGGTAAGAAATTGAAACCTAAATACAGCCAATCATAACCAACCAACTAGACTCTCCCAAATGAGGCAACTCCTTAAGCTAGAGCCAATCAAATAATTTTTTTGCTTTGCTTCCCCCCCTGCTGTATAAAATCCTTTCTAAAAGGTCTGAGCCGGCTGGAAATCACATCCACAATGCAAGGCCAATGTAGAGCCAAATGGCTTTATTGCATGTGCCTGGGTGCAGGCAGGCTGACTCCTTAAAAGAGCCCAGCATTGAAATCTCTTTGTTCTCTGGTTTTTATAGTCCCAAACTATAGAAACTAAAAAAAAAACTACATTAAAAACAACAACAACAACACATTCTCTTGGCACTGCGTAATTGATGTCAGGGCCGATACAAGTTTTCTCAAAGGTAAGGAGACTGCTCCAGCAGAGGTCTGGGCCATCATTAATCTCCTTTTTTTATGGTCCCTTCAAGTTTCCCAAGGCCAACTTTAACCACTTATCTTTATGGTTCTTCTGGATGTCAGTCCCAGGTGTTTTAGAAAACTGCTCGGGTGTTTACATGCAGGAATAACTGGTCAGAGTGGAGTTTAATTTTGATAAAGCATTATTAACCCTTTCACTTTGTCCTAGTTCAGTTTGGTGCCACCTGATTGGAATTGATGTTTGCTCAAATAGACTCTTCAAAGAAAAAATTTTAAGTATGTTTCCATTGATTTTTGAGAGAGAGAGGAAGGGAGAGAGAGATATAAACATCAATGTGAGAGAGAAACACGATCAACTGCCTCCTGCACACCCCCTACTGGGGATTGAAGATGAAGCCCTTAACCTGGCATATGCCCTGACCAGGAATCCAACCAGACCTCTCAGTCCATGGGACAACTCTCAATCTACTAAACCTCACAGGCTGGACAACTCCTCAACATTTTAATGTACCTCAGTTTTATTTTAAACAGAGCAAATGCGCCCTGGCTGGTTTGGCTCAGGGGTTAGAGTGTTGGCCCACAGTCCAGAGAGACCCGGGTTCAGTTCCCGCTAAGGGCACGTACCTCGGTTGCAGTTTGTCCACAGCCCTGGTTGAGTCGTGTGGGTGGCAACCAGTCGATGTGTCTCTTTCACATCGATGTTTCTCTCTCTCTCTCTCTCTTCCTCTCTCTCCCTCCCACTCTATCTGAACAAAAAGAAAAAAAAATAAACACAGCAAATGCGCCCCTCTTCCCACTGCCAAAATACCCACAGAGCTCATCCTTGTGAATGGCATTCTTAGGAAGGAGGCCTTCCTCACTGTTCATCCTCTCTCCTCAGCAAAATCACCCTTTGTCCTTTTTTCTATTGCACCTGGCATATTCTAACATACTATGTAATTTAGCATTTCTTCCATGATATTTCCTGTGTTTTCCTTTAATACATAGAAGCCACGTGAAAGTGGGGTTCTTTGTTTCTTGGTGCCTAAATTTCTCCTTTATTTCAGGGTTCAGATGTACCCTTTGTACACATGCTCTGTCCCCTACCCATAATACCATCAGTTACATTGCTCCTTTATTGAGATAGATGTCGGATTACTTTTTTAAAAAAATTATTTTTATTGTTTTTGTTACAGATGTTTCTCTTTTTTTCCCCATTGACACCCTCCTCCCCACCCCACCCCCCATGCCTTCCCCAGCTTTGTTGTCTATGTCCATTGGTAGATGTCAGGTTTCTAAGAGGAATTGAGAATATCTGAGGATAGATAAGGTGTAAGAAATATATGGGTAAAAGTGTTCATCAATGGTTGGGACACAATTAGTAACTATACAGGTGAGAGAGGTTTTGGGGGAAACAAAGGTTATTACTTCAGTATCACCCAGTCTCTCTTCCCAAACCCTGTCATAAAACTGTTTGGAGTTTTCTATAGTTCATAACCAGTGATCCTGAAACACAAAACATGCTAACACTTCAGGCTACAAGCATTTTAAGAGCAATAACATTTCTTTTCAGACTACATATGGACTTTTTTTTTTTTTAACTGATTTTTAGAGAGAAAGGAAGGGAGAGAGAGAGAGAAACATCCATGAGAGAGAACATAGACTGGATGCCTCCTGCATGCCCCTCACTGGGGATCCAGCCCACAACCTGGACATGTGCCCTGAATGGGAATCAAACCTGCGACCTCTTGATGCATGGGTGGATGCTCAACTACTGAGCCACACAGGCTGGGCTGTATGGACTTTTTTTTTCTTTTTTTTCTTTATTGATTTTTGAGAGAGAGCAAGAGAGAGGTGTATGGGCTTTTTTCTTTATTGATTTTTGAGAGAGAGGAAGAGAGAGGTGTATGGACTTTTTTTGTTTTTGTTTTTTTTCTTTATTGATTTTTGAGAGAAGAAGAGAGAGGGAGAGAGAGATAGAAACATTGATGAGAGAGAACATCAACTGGCTGCCTCCTGCATGCCCCCCATTTAGAATCAGGCCCACAACCTGGGCATGTGCCCTGAATGGGAATCCAACTGGTGACCTCTTGGTGCATGGGGGACGATCAACCAGTGAGCCATGTATGGACTTTTTTTTTTTTGGTAGGTGCCCCTAGTGGGAACCAAACCGGGACTCTCTGGTCCACAGACCCACACTCCAACCACTGAGCCAAAGCGGCCAGGGCTGTATGCACTTTTTTTTTTCTTCTTTAATCCTGAGGACATTTTTCCATTTTTTGTTCAGATAGTGGGAGGGAGAGAGAGGAAGAGAGAGAGAGGAACATCGATGTGAAAGGGACACATCAAGCGGCTGCCACCAACATAACCAACGAGGGCTGGGGACAAACTGCAACCGAGGTACGCGCCCTTAGCGGGAACCGAACCCGGGTCTCTCTGGACCGCAGGCCGAAGCTCTAACCGCTGAGCCAAACTGGCCAGGGCTGTATGCACTTCTTTATGTCACACTGGCTCTCTGGAGTAATATGACATTTACTTCGATAATAGGATTTGGGAGCAACTCAAAGAATAGTTTTATTTATTTATTTTTTTATCCTCACCTGAGGATATTTTTCCATCGAGGACATTTTTCCATTTTTTGTTCAGGTAGAGTGGAAGGGAGAGAGAGGAACAGAGAGAGAGAGAGAGAAACATCGATGTGAAAGGAACACATCGAGTGGCTGCCACCCGCTGCCACCCGCACAACCGACCAGGGCCGGGGACAAACTGCAACCGAGGTACGCGCCCTTAGAGGGAACCGAACCCGGGTCTCTCAGGACCGCAGGCCGACACTCTAACCGCTGAGCCAAACCGGCCAGGGCTCAAAGAATAGCTTTATACTTGGAGGGCGGGTTAACTTGGGAGTATGAAATCAATCCCCATTCTCCTCGTTTAACAGGGAGCAGTCCCCTCCCCCTGGTGAAGACGTCAATTCCTGCTTCCTCTGGGGGCCACTTGGCAAAAGCTCTGGTCCGCAGAGAGGTCACCCTTCCCGGCGGACCCTGGAGTTCGCGAAGTTGCATTACCCAGAAAACAGCGCGATGAGATGAGCCAATGACAGATCAGAATGAGGCACTTCCGTCAGGCCGCGACGGGGCGGGACTTCCGGTGTCCTAGTAGAGAGCATTTGGTGTTTTCCCAGGAGCCGCTGGCTGTTTGGAGGCTCCATCGCGCTCCATCGCGGTCGTGATGCGGGAGCCGAGAAAACACAAGGTCGTTGTCTCCGCCGCTCAGACGCGGGTGTGAGGCCCAGGTGTCCTGCTCAAGGGCCGACACAGGGACCGCCTGTCCGGAGCCCTCCTTGCCCGCCGCTCCCGCCCGATGGCGGCGGCCGCGCTGAGGCGCCCGGCGGAGGTGAGAGCGCGGCCCCCGGCCTCCCGGCCTCCCCGCCTCCCCGCCTCCCCGCCCCGAGCCCTGCAGCGAGCGCCCGGCACATCCTGCAGCCCAGGCGGCTTCCGCACGGAGAGTCCCTCGTGGTTGACACGTGGTGTGACGTGGGTGTGTGAGGGGGACGGTTGAGGCGTCGTTAGCTCAGACATTCAGGGGCTGCCGACCCGACAGCAGGGTTTTTTGTTTTGTTTTTATTTTTGGTTGATCCTCACCCAAGGTTCTATTTTCCATTGATTTCTAGAGTGGAAGGGAGGGAGTAGGTGGTGGAGAGAGAGAAAGAAACATCAATGTTTCCTCTCACATCCACTGGTTGCCTCCCTCAGTGACAGGGCGAGGACCGAACCTGCAACCCAGGTGCGGACTTTGGGTGGGTGTTCCCATGCTCTAACCCCTGAGCCACACAGGCCAGGGCCCCACAGCCCGTCTTTCCTTTCTTTTTTTTATCCTCACCGGAGGACATTTTTCCATTTTTTGTACAGATAGAGTGGGAGGGAAGAGGAAGAGAGAGAGAGAGAAACATTGATGTGAAAGGGACACATCGAGTGGCTGCCACCGCATGACCAACCAGGGCCGGGGACAAACTGCAACCAAAGTATGTGCCCTTAGCGGGAACCGAACCCAGGTCTCTCTGCACCGCAGGCCGACGCTCTAACCGCTGAGCCAAACCAGCCAGGGCTTTCCTTACTTTCTTTAGGAACAAGGTGGAGCGTGGTCTGGCCCTGTGGCTCCGGGATTGAGCGTCCTCTCATGGTCTTAGAGGTCCCAGTTCAATTCCCAGTCAGGGCACATGCCCAGGTTGCAGGCCTCACCCCTAGTTGGGAGGCATGCAGGAGGCAGCTCATTGATGTATCTCTCAACACTCAATGTTTCTGTCTCTCTCTCCCTTCCTTTCTCTCTCTAAAAAAAAAAAAAAAAAAAAATAAATAAAAACATTTAAAAATAAATGGAGTGGGGCCCAAATTCAAGCATGAGAAGTGGGCCGTCTCTTATCAAGTGGTTTGAATCAGAGGACGGCCCTGTTACTGCTTCATCCACTGCTGCTGTTCATGGACCACAAAAGTGGCCGTGGAGGTGGGGAAGGTGATTAAATGTGTACTTTTTTTTAATCCTCACCAGAGGATATGTTTACATACAAGTTTCTATTGATTTTTAGAGAGAGAAAGAAAAAAAACATTGGTTGCTTCCCGAATGCACCCAAACTAGCGATTGAACCCACAACCTGGGCATTTGCCCCAACTGGGTATCAGGTGACCTTTCAGTGCAGGGTACTTTTTGCAACCAACTGAGCCACACCTGCCAGGGCTGGGTGGTGAATATCGAAGCAAGGATTAGAGGCAAGTGGGAAGGACATCTTTGTGTCCTTTCATGCTATGACCTTTGGACCAACCTCACTGTCCTTAGTTAGCAAATTAAAGTCTTGTAGGTAATGATGATCTTTGTCCTTTTCAAAGTACTTTTGTTAGTAATGGCCAGGATGACAATAGAGATAAATATCAAACTGGTGATAGTATGGACCACCAGAAGGTATGGCCTCTGGCCCTACTGATTTCTTTGTTCCTTTGTCTTGTCAATCATTACTTGAGTTACACAATAAAAATAGGTCCAGTAACAGGAGTCTTTTGCACAGAATAGTTGGTTCTACTTTGACCCAATCTTCATATAAATTACCTTGTACCAGTGTCTGTTATGTTCTGTGGAGTTGCCTGTTGGTCTTAAGATAACTATTCCTTGTGGTGGACATTATACCTTTGCTCCACCATTAGACACTCTGGCTTTGGGATCCATCATAGAACTTGGGTTGTCCTGGGTTCTTTTGAAAGTTGTTAAGCACTTTCTGGAGACCAGTCGGACTCATCCATGGGCCAAGTGCATGGGTGAGTCTAGAGCAGCGGTCCTCAACCTGTGGGTCGCGACCCCTTCGGGGATCGAATGACCCTTTCACAGGGGTCACCTAAGACAATCGGAGAACACACATTTCCGATGGCGATTCATAACTAGCAAAATTACACTTAGGAAGTAGCAACAAACATAATTTTATGGTTGGGGTTCACCACAACATGAGGAACTGTATTAAAGGGTAGCAGCATTAGGAAGGTTGAGAACCACTGGTTTAGAGAGATGCCTATGGCATGAAGCCAGGACCATGGCAGAGCTGAGAGAGTAAACCTGGGTTCTGAAGAGGTGAGAGAAGTACAGTCTACAAAATGATGTGCACATACATACATAGGAAATGTGAGCTGAAGTCCCCAGGACTCTGAGACCTTCAGGTGAAACATGAGCCCATGTTTGACTGTCACGGAGGCACAATGTGAGAGACACCAGAGGAATTGCTTGGCAAGAAGTATAGAATCCTATAGGCCAGACCCAGTGCTTAGATGGCATTTGTCGACCTTTTGCTGAGAGTTGAACACAGTGATTAATGAAATGGTGAGGAGAGAATAGGCATTGGTGGTATGAGGGCCTGGTTTCTCCTTTGTGGTGGTGGGAGGACAGCTATGGTGGAGGGTGAGTGGGGAGTAGATGTTTGCGGAGTGGACAGTGGGTTCTCAGAGAGAGAATGGTAGTTTGATCTTTCCCTGTTATTATAGGACAGTGTGACCTTTCGTGATGTTGCTGTGCACTTCTCATGGGAGGAGTGGCGCCTCATCAGTGAGGCTCAGAGACAACTGTACCTGCATGTGATGCTGGAGAACTTTGCACTTATATCCTCTCTGGGTAAGACCCTCACTCTCCACAGTGACCTGGACTAGTCTTTGCATTTCCCCATGTCCCCGTTTCCCCAAAGGGTGCTCTCTCCTCACATGATGACTGTGAGCACTGCTTGCTTCCCCATTTTTCTGGGTAATTACGGCTGGATTGTTTGCACTAAATTTCGTACAGCCCCGCACCTGCTAACTGAGGCCTTATAGGGAAGGATTCAAGGTCCATAGTTTTGCAACAAGGCTAATGGATTCCATCTTGTGCACTGTCTACTGTGGCCCAATCCATGCAGTTTCTAGTGTCTAGGTTTTTTTTTTTTTGAATTAATCAATTATTTATTTTTTGGTACGTGCTCCTAGCGGGAACCAAACCCGGGACTCTCTGGTCCTCAGGCCGATGCTCCAACTGCCTAGCCAAACCGGCCAGGGCTAGTGTCTAGGTTTTGATCCCTTTCCCTAGCTGACATTTCTTTGTGCCTGCCTATGGCAGCATGCAGTTTTGGTCATGGTCATTACTTAACTGAATGATGGGCTACTTTTCAAGAGTATCCTCTAAATTATTTTTTTGTAGTGTTTAGATTTCTACTACTCCCTGCCCCCCCCCCAATTTATTGAAGTACAGTTGACAAAATTATATATACTTTCAGTGTATTGTATGATTGTTAGATATATGTATACATTATGAAATTCCACGATAAAGTTAATTACTGCACTTAACATCTGGCATAATGACTTTTTTTTTTCTTTTTAGAGTGGAAGAGAGACATGTGGATTGGTTGCCTCCTACAGGAGATCCAACCTGCAACCTGCCCTTGACCTGGAATTAAACCCTCAACCCTTCTTTGTGGGCCCATGCTCTAACCTCTGAGCCACACTGGCCATGGCTGTTGCCTATTCTTTTGATGTTAATGTTCAAAAACATCATTGCCAAGAACAAGTTAAAGGAACATATTCTCTGTGTTCTTTTAAGAGTTTTATGGTTTCAGGTCTTTAATCTGTTTGGAGTTTATATTCATGAGTGCTAAAAGATGGGAGTTCAGTTTTTGTTTTTTGCACGTTGGTTTAGGTTTCCCAACACTGTTAATGTGAAGACTATACATTACCTATGATGTGTTCTTGTCAAAAATCAGATGACTTCATATACATGGGTTTACTTCTGTGTTTTTTTTCTTTTCCATTGGTCTCTCTGTCCTTATACCAGTACTGTGCTGTTTTGATTAGTATAGCTTTGTAATCGTTTGAAATCAGGAGTGTGATTCCTCCAGCTTTAATCTTCTTTCTCAAGATTGCTTTTGCTATTCAAGCCACTTTGTGATTCCATATGGGTTTTAGGTATGTTTTACTATTTCTGTGAAAAAAAGCATTGAAATTTTAATGGAATCGCCTACAAACGGCACAATACTTTGGGTATTATACCCATTTTAACAATATTAATTCCCTTGTTCCCTGAGTACGGGATATCTTTCCATTCATTTTGGTCGTCAGTTGACTTCATCAGTGTTTGAAAGTTTTCATAGTATATGCCCTGGCCGGTTTGGCTCAGCGGTTAGAGCGTCGGCCTGCGGTCTGGAGAGACCCGGGTTCGGTTCCCGCTAAGGGCACATATATCGGTTGCAGTTTGTCCCCGGCCCTGGTTGGTTGTGCGGGTGGCGACCACTCGATGTGTCCCTTTCACGTCGATGTTTCTCTCTCTCTGTTCCTCTCTCTCCCTTCTACTCTACCTGAACAAAGAATGGAAAAATGTCCTCGGGTGAGGATGATAAAAAAAAAAAAAAAAAAAGAAAGTTTTCATAGTATAAATCTTTCAGCTTCTTGGTTAATTTCTTTTTTTATTCTCACCCGAGGGTATTTTTCCATTTATCTTTTTTTTAAAACTTATCTTTATTGTGTAATGTATTACAGATATTCCTTTTTTCCCCTATTGACCCCCTCCTCCCCACTCCCGCCCCCTTCCTGCCTTTCCCTCCACTGTTGTCTGTGCATATATACATATGCATATATACAGATAAGTTCTTTGGTTTATTTCTTCCCACCCCCCTTCCCTTTGAAGTTTGTCAGTCTAACAATCAATTTGTACTTCTTAATCCTTTCACTTTTTTCACCCTTTCCCCTAACCCCCCTCCTATCTGGCAACCAACAGAATGCCCTCTGTATTTTTGAGCATGTTTCTGTTCTGCTTGTTCATTTTGTTTCTGGATTCAATTGTCGATAGATATGTATTCATTGCCATTTTGTTTGTTTATATTTTTTATCTTTTTCTTCAAGAAGACCCTTCAACATTTCATATGATAATGGTTTGGTGTTCCTGGCTGGTTTGGCTCAGCGGTTAGAGCATCGGCCTGTGGTCCAGAGAGACCCGGGTTCGGTTCCCGCTAAGGGCGCGTACCTTGGTTGCAGTTTGTCCCCGGCCCTGGTTGGTTGTGCGAGTGGCAGCCACCTGATGTGTCCCTTTTATGTCGATGTTTCTCTCTCTCTCTCTCTCTCTTCCTCCCACTCTACCTGAACAAAAAATGGAAGGATGTCCTCAGGTGAGGAAAAAAAAAAAATGGTTTGGTGGTGATGAACTCCTTTAGCTTTTTCTTGTCTGGGAGACTTTATATGGCCATCAATTGTAAATGACAGCTTTGCAGGATAGAATGATTTTGTTCTCTCTCTTCTTCTGGCACCCCCAAGATGCAAATGTTGCTTGAAGTTGTCCCAGAGGCTCCTTACACTAATCTCATTATTTTGGATTCTTTTTTCTTTTTGTTGTTCTGATTGGGTATTTTTTGCTTCCTTATATTCCAAATTGGTAATTTGCTTCTTGGCTTTACCTACTCTACTATTAAATCTATAAATTATTCTTTATTTCAGTTAGTGCCTCCTCATTTCTGACTGTGCATCCTTCATTTCTGACTGGTCCTTTTTTATGCTCTTGAGGCCCTCAGCTAAGTTCATTTAAGTTCTCACTGAGTTCATTGAGCATCCTTATAAGCAGTGTTTTGAATTCTGCATCTATTAGGTTGGTTATCTTCATTTCGCTTAGTTCTTTTCCTGGAGTTCTGTTCTGTTATTTCATTTGGGACCTGTTTCTTTGTCTCCTCATTTTGGCTGCCTCCCTGTGTTTGTTTCTATGTATTAGGTAGAGTTCCTATGTCTCCTGTGCTTCCTTGGGTAGCCTGTTATAGTAGGTGTTCTATAGGGTCCAGTTGCACAGCCTCTTTGATCTCCCAGCTGGGACCTTGAGGTGCACCTCTCATGTGAACCTGCACCCTTCTATTGTAAGTGAGTCTTGATTGCTGTTGGCAACGAGAGGGTTTTACTCAGGCTGATCATCTGCAGAACTGGCTGTGCCCACTATCCACCGACCTCTGACCACCTTGGATGATCACCTGTGCAGGGACCCACCACACAGAGCAAGACTTATTTCAGCAGGGCTCTGGTACCCACTGAGTCTTCCTTGAGTGTGTCACTTGTGGAGGTGGTTGGGTGGTGGTGCTTCACAGTGTTCTGAAGCTGTCCACTGGGTGTGCTGGCTCGGGGGCCAGGTCAGCCACTGCCTGTGTTCTTCCTGGGGCCACCAGGGATAAGCTACAAAGTGATCTGAAGATGGCTACTGAGATTGAAGGTGCCCAGGAAAAGCCAAATTGTGACCCAAGTCTGGCTACTTCTAGTGCTGGGCCTGGGGCCACTAAATGAGCGGTATGGGGCTCGCTGAGACCAGATGCTGCTTGTTTGAAAGAATTTAGGAAAACCTGAAGCAGGATTTACGACAGGCCAATCCTATGATAAAGCAACTGGCAACAACTTGGGTGGGCCTGAAAGTTGGGTGGGGCGGGGCCTCAGGGAATCACCAGGGCGGGGCAACCAGTGTGAGCCAGGTTGCTGGAGTCCCAGATATGGTGGCTGTCTGCCACCAAAGGAACAAAGGCCTCTGAAAGCACGTCTGTCCCGGAGAAAGCCCCCCTCTAGAACACCGCTCCAGTGCCAAACAGCTCAGTTCTTCCCTGTGTCTGGCCCCCCTCGAGCTGCCTCCCCTCCAGTCTTAGAGGGAGTGAGTCCGATAAGTCTGTGCGTGAGCCCTTTAGGAGGAGCTGCCTGGGGCTGCAGCTGCCTCAGCCTCAATTCCCGCTGGTTTTTCCAAAGTTTCTTTATGGATATCCTGGGTGATTTGCCCATTGTTAAGAAGGGAATATTGACATCTATTGTTGTGTTACTGTCTATTTCTGCCTTGTACAAACTGCCATTCTTCCTTGCATCACACCGTATTTTTGTGTCCTCACTTGTTGAGGTTTCCACTGTTCTTCAATCTTGTGGGTCCAGTAGTACACAGCAGTCACTTCAACTAGATCTAAATTCCCGTCTTGAAAAGCGTTTTACAGACTCATTTCTAGATGTAACAGATGGACATTTGTGATGGGACTGCTCCTCCCTATAATGTCGGCATGTACGTCACCAGCATTTCTTTGCGTTCAGGTTGCTGCTGTGGAACAGAGGATGTGAAAGCACCCACTGAACAGAGCATTTCTGTAAGTGTGTCACCTACAGGGAGTTCTAAGGGAGCTTCATCTTTGCAGAAGACCCACCCCTGTGAGAGTTGTCGGCCAATCTTGAGAGACATTTTCCTCTTGGTTGAGCAGCAGGGAACACAACACAGCCAGAAACTGCTGAGGTGTGGGGCATGTGCAAAGCCATTTTATTTCAGTGTAAAGTGTGACCAACAACAGGAGCAGCCCATGAGAGAGAAACCCTTCAGAAGTACTGTGCACACAGCCTCACGTGTGAAGAGCTGCGGAAACCACCAGTCAGGGAACCCCTTTACCTGTGGGGAGGTTGAGAAGGACTTCCTGGCTAGCCTGGGACATAAGCAGCAACAGGCCACTCAAATTAGGGAGGAGTCAAACAAAATCACCCAGTTTACAACTTCACAAAGCAGGAAATGTGATTATACTTGGGAAGAATGCAAGAAAGCTTTCAGCTCCATATTCACACTTGTTCAGGACCAGCGTGTTCACACTGAAAGACAGTGTTTTATGTGCCTTGAATGTGGGGAAGCATTCAAGTATACATCTTTATTCGTTGCCCACCTGAATGTCCACACTCAAGAAAGGCTTCATGTGTGTTGTGAATGTGGAAAATCCTTTAGGAGAAGCTCAACTCTCAGTGAATATCAGGGAATTCCAACTTGGGAAAAACAGCCCAGGTGCAGCAAATGTGGGAAATTTTTAAGCCACAGATCAGCTTTAATTTATTCCCAGAGAGGGCTCGATGGAAACAAGTTTGTGTGCCATAAATGTGTGAAATCTTTGAGTCATAGTTCAGTGTGCATTCAACCTGGACAAAGGCCTTACAGGTGTAGTGACTGTATAAAATCTTTTACCTCCAACTCTGCCCTTAGTTATCATCAGAGATCTCACAAAGGTGAAAAGCCTTATGAATGCAGTGAATGTGGGAAATCTTTTACCAGGATTTACAACTTTCATTGTCATCAGAGATCTCACAGAGAAAAACCTTATGAATGCAGTGAATGTGGGAAATCTTTTACCAGGATTTACAACTTTCATAGTCATCAAAGATCTCACAGAGAAAAGCCTTATGAATGCAGTGAATGTGGGAAATCTTTTACCAGGATTTACAGCTTTCATTGTCATCAGAGAGTTCACACTGGAGAAAGGCCTTATGAGTGTTATGAATGTGGGAAATTCTTTAAGCAATCATCTCACCTCTCAAGACACCAGAGAATTCATAATAGAAAGCATCCTTAGAATGTAGCAAATATGGGAAATCTTTTTGTTTTAGTTCTGGTGATCGTTACCACTAGAGAATTCACAGGAGAAAGGTCTAACGAGTGCAGCAAATGTGAGAAACCTAGGGAAAATATGCGTTCAATACATTGGAGAGTTCATAGTAGAAAAAGCCACAGATATGCAGGAAATGTGCAATGTCATTGTTTTGTGTAAGGACACTGGTGATAACTGGGATCATTTTGTCTGAATTCTCATACATGTACACATGCACAGTGGAGAGAATCCCCAGAAGCTTCAGTTTGGGGGAAGGCGGGGCTATGTTGCATTTTCTAACCTGCTCAGGGTTCTTGCCAGATTTATTCACTGCCATTTTCTGTGGTCAAAGTCATTGGACTTCTACCACCTGCCTGTTCCATATCAGTCATTATCCCAGTGTGCTCAGGGAACTCTGTTTTCCCCTGTACTGGAGCAAATTTGGAGTAACCCAAACTCTTGGTAGGGGATGGGTCAGTGTTTTTTCATCCTTGACTACCTTGGACATGGACTTGGGCTGATGTTGGCCCAGAGAATATCATATGAGTTTGGCTGGCCTCTTTCCCCAAGCAATACCATTTTCAGGGTCATGTTTCACATGATCCTTGTTATAAGATTTTCTAGCTTCCAGGTCAGAAACTCTAACTGCCTGTTACATATTGCTTTGCTTTGTATAAAAATGAAGGGCTCTTCCTATTTAATTATGGGTGTTTTGTTACTGTGTGGCCTAGTTTGTAAACTGATAATGGGTTCTACAAGCATGTCCCTTCACAAGCACAGTATTTTGGCAAAAAAAGCTAGCCAGTTTGGCTCAGCAGTTAGCGTGTCGGACTGTGGACCAATGAGTCACAGGTTGATTCTGGTCAAGGGCACATACCTGGGTTGTGGTTCCTCCCCGGCCCGGGTCGGGGTCGTGTGGGAGGCAACCAATTGATGTGTCCCTCTCACATCGATGTTTCTCTCCCTTCTCTATCTAAAGATAAATGGAAAAATATCTTTGGGTGAGAATTAAAAAAAACAAACTGGCCACTTTGACCACATTTGTATTGCTGCCCTTTCTAAATGTTCATCTGTAACGTCTGTGACAGTGACCAGCAGGATCTGTTTGCACACTAATTTTAAAACCTTAAGGTATATTTATTTGTCTTGTGGGTCTTAAATCATGGTCAGAGAAAGTAAAAGGTTTTGTGGATTCCTGTAGCCTCTTAGTGATGTTCACCTCAAAGGCATTACTTCACAGGGTAGATAGAAAGAAGAAAGGGGGATTTGTAATCTGGAGATGGAATTCTGACCCAGGCAACATCCTGTTGATTTATATTCTTTGTCCTGTTGATTGGCTGACACTGAAGGAAAACTGATTTTCCCAGAGGACATGAAGACAGAGATGGTGGAATCAATATAGGTTTACCAAATCTGTTTTCCAAAAATAAGTAGGACGTGCAAAATTTTTTTTATCTTGAGCCAATTTTTAAAATTTTATTAAGGGCCCTGGCCGGTTTGGCTCAGCGGTTAGAGCATTGGCCTGCGGTCCAGAGAGACCCGGGTTCGGTTCCCGCTAAGGGCACGTACCTTGGTTGCAGTTTGTCCCTGGCCCTGGTTGGTCATGCAGGTGGCAGCCACTCGATATGTACCTTCCACGTCGATGTTTCTCTCTCTCTGTCTTCCTCTCTCTCCTTCCCACTCTATCTGAACAAAAAAATGGGAAAGTATCCTCGGGTGAGGATAAAAAAAAATTTTTTTTATCTTGAGCCAATTTTTAAATTTTTATTAAGGTATAACTTACATATATATATATATATATATATTTTAAACTTTTGAGCCCAGCCAGTGTGTCTCAGTGGTTGAGCGTCAACCTATGGAAGAAGAGGGCTTCAATTTGATTCCCAGTCAGGGCACATGCCCAGGTTGTGGGCCCAATCCCCAGTGGGGGGCATGCAGAAGTCAGCCAGTCAATGTTCTCTCATCAATATTTTTATCTCTCCCTCTCCTCTCTCAAATCAATAAAGAAAAAGAAAATAATTTTTTAAAAACCTGTTGATAGCCCTGGCCGGTTTGGCTCAGCGGTTAGAGCGTCGGCCTGCGGTCCAGAGAGACCTGGGTTCGGTTCCCGCTAAGGGCACGTACCTCGGTTGCAGTTTGTCCCCGGCCCTGGTCGGTCGTGCGGGTGGCAGCCACTCGATGTGTCCCTTTCACGTCGATGTTTCTCTCTCTCTCTCTGTTCCTCTCTCTGCCTCCCACTCTACCTGAACAAAAAAAAAAAAAAAAAAATGGAAAAATGTCCTCGGGTGAGGATAAAAAACAAAACAAAAAAAAAAAAAACCTGTTGATAAATTTATCATAGATGTGAACTTCCAAAACTGTCACCGTAGTCCTGATGACTGTAACTGTCACATTATGTCTACCTAATTTTCTATTATAATCTTGCCCTTACCACCTCTCCAGGTGAACATTAATTTACTTTCCCTTACTACACCTTGCTTTGCATTTTCTTGAAAAATTTTTTTTAATCTTTTTTTTTCTTTTTTTTTTTTTAATCCTCACCCGACGACATTCTTTACTCAGATACAGTGGGAGGGAGAGAGGGAAGGAAACATCCACGTGAAAGGGACACATCAAGTGGTCGCCACCCACACAACCCAACCAGGGCCGGGACAGACTGCAACCGAGCTTCGTGCCCTTTGCGGAAACCGAGCCCTGGTCTCTCCAGACCGCGGGCTGATGCTCTAACTGCTGAACCAAACAGCCCAGGACATTTTCTTGAATTTTTTGGAATTCTGATTTCCTTGATGTTTCACAATTGCCTAATTGAGATTCATCATTGGTATTATAAAGTAGCTCAATTATCCCCCTGAATAATATTATTTTACATATATATATATATACACACACATATTTTTTTTTGCCTTTATTGATTTTTAGAGAGAGAGGAGGGAGAAGGAGAAAGAGATAGAAACATCCATGAGCGAGAACATCTGTTGACTGCCTCCTGCACGCCCCCCACTGGGGATTGGGCCCACAACCTGGGCATGTGCCCTGACCGGGAATCAAACCAGTGACCTCTTAGCGCATGGTTCGACACTCAACCACTGAGCCACATCAGCCGGGATATATATATATATATATATATATATTTTTTAATCCTCACCTGAGGATATTTTTCTATTTATCTTCAGATAGAATAGGAGAGAGAGAAAGGGTGAGAGGGACACCAACTGGTTGCCTCTGGCATGATCCTGACCAGGGCTGGGGATGAACTGCAACCAAGGTACGTACCCTTGTTCGGACTTGAACCCGCAATTCATTGGTCCGTGGGCCGACACTCTACCACTGAACCAAACTGGCCAGGGCAATATTTTTATTTTTTTATATATACCATTTTTTAGTTTATCCATTAATCTTTTATGGGTGTTTAGGTTACTTCTAAGTTTTGAATACTAACAATAAAGGTATTACAAACATTTGTCTCAGTTCCTTTTATGGTTGTATATTTGTTTTATTTTTTTTTGGCAAAAACTTAAGAGAGTCACAAGGTAGATGAATGTTTAAGTCTTGAAGAAACTACCAAACTCTGGTTTAAAATGAATGTTCCATTTTGCATTCCCACCTGTAGTGTATGAGACTTCCAGTTCATCCATATCCCCGCCATCACTTGATACATTGCCTTTTTTAAATATTTTTTTATCTTCCCCTGAGGACATTTTTCATTTATCTTCAGATAGAGCGGAAGGGAGAGAGAGAGAAAGATAGAGATACATCAACTGGTTGCCACCCACAGGACTCCAACAGGGGACAAACTGCAACCGAGGTACGTGCCCTTAGTGGGAACCGAACCTGGGACTCTCCAGTCTGCGGGCTGACACTCTAACCGCTGAGCTGAACCGGCCAGGACTGGATATAATTCTAACTACTTTGGATAAATACCAAGGAGCTCAATGCTAGATCTTACAAGACTGGTTAATTTTGTAAGTTGTCGAACTATACTCCAAATTGGCTGTAACATTATGCATTCCCATCAACAATGAGAGTTTCTGTTGCTCTATATTTTCAGCAGGATTTGGTCTTACTAGAGTTCTGGATTTTGACCATATCTAATAGATATGTGGTGATACCTAGTTTTATTTCGAAATTTTTAGTAACAAATGATGTTGAGCATCTTTTTTTTTTCTTTATTGATTTTAGAGAGAGAGGAAGGGAGAAGGAGAGAGAGATAGAAACAGCAATGAGAGAGAACATCGACTGGTCGCCTCCTGCATGCCCCACTAGGGATTTGGCCCACAACCCGGGCATGTGCCTTGACCGTGAATTGAACCAGCAATCTCGGTGCATGGGTGGGTGCTCAACCACTGAACCACACCGGCCGGGCTAGCCTGCACATTTCTAAGTCTGATATTCCCTAAACTCTAATCCCAAATACTCATTTATTACTTGGTTTGTTGTTGTTTTTTTATCCTCACCCGAGGTCATTTTTTCGTTTTTTGTTCAGATAGAGTGGGAGGGAGAGAGAGACAGAAACATCGACATGAAAGGGACACATCGAATGGTTGCCACCCGCATGACCCAATCAGGGCTGGGGACAAACTGCAACCAAGGTACATGCCCTTAGCGGGAACCGAATCCGGGTCTCTCTGGACCGCAGGCCGACGCTCTAACCTCTTAGCAAACCGGCCAGGGCCTCATTTATTGTTATTTGATAACTTACTCTTAATGGAAACATTATTATGTATTTTAAGTAAGTGATGCTATGATAAGTTCGTATTTGAACTGTCTGGGCACATAAATTTTACATATTTTAAAATGTTGTTAACCTAAATGTGGCTATTAAAACTGTGTGTGTGTGTGTGTGTGTGTGTGTGCAATAAACATATTTAAAGATGCTTAATCCTGGCCGGTGTGGGCTAGTAACCATAAATATATACTAACAAATAAAATATTTCTAGGAGGAAACAATAATTGATAACAACTATATTATAGAGAATGGGGAGTGGAATATGAAAATGAAGAAATAGCATTTATTGCATGTATAGCACATAAATCTACCCCAAATTTTCTAAATAAAAAGAATAGGTTTGCCCTGGCCGGTTTGGCTCAGCGGTTAGAGCATCGGCCCATGGACCAGAGAGTCCCTGGTTCGGTTCCTGCTAAGGGCAAGTACCTGGGTTGCAGTTTGTCCTTGGCCCCCTTTGGAGTCTTGTGGGTGGCAGCCATTCGATGTGTCTCTCATTGATGTTTCTCTCTTCCTCCCTCTCCCCCTCCTGCTCTATCTGAAGATAAATGCGGGAAAAAAAAGAATAGGTTTTGTATTACATACTGAAAAAATTAAAAGCACATCCTCTTCCCGCCTGCCCTCTCTTCCTCACCATTTTTCAGCATTCCTCATGGTACTGTGTGGCCCATGCTCCTGTCAGTGTGAACACAGTCTTTAGGCTGTTAGAGCTCTGGGAACTACATTACCCAGAAAACCATGCGCAAGAAGCCGAGGTGATGAGCCAATGGTGTGTCGGGATGAGGTATTTTCGCGCTTGCGCATCCCGTCGAGGCGGGACTTCCGATCTCTCCACGGTGGCGGTCATTTTGGCTTGACACGCGTCCTTTGAACCCGTTAGAGATTTGGGAGCAGTGGGCCCGGAGCGAGCTGCCGGAACCTAGCAGGCGCGAGAGTCGTCGTCCCCGCCGCACAGACGGGGATCTGAAGCTCGCGCTTCGCCCGGGTGACCCGCGCCAGGGCCGGGCCGGGCCGCCGCCTCAATCCTCCTCGCTCCGCCCACTGAGTCCGATGGCGGCGGCCGCGCTGAGGCGCCCGGCTGAGGTGAGAGCGCGTCCCGGGCCTCCCGCCTCCCCGCCCCGAGCCCTGCAGCCCTGCAGCCCGGGTGCGGGCTCCCGTCACGCCCTGCAGCCCCGGCCCGGCGTGCGGACCGAGAGCGTTCGTGGGTGACACGCGGTGGGACGGGAGTGGTCGCCTTGTGAAGACGTGCAGGGGCGGCTGCGCCAGAAGGATCCGGGAACCTGGGGTCCTCCTTAACGCCTACGGGGGACAGAGTGAGGAATAGTGGCATCTGGACTGGCGTGGGGTTGTGCCTCCATTCTGAGAGTCCTGGCAGCCAGGAGAGGTTGTGAACAGGAGGGGGACAGGCCGTGTTAGGACTTCATGTTTTACAAAAGCTGCTCAGAGAGAGAACAAGACTAGAATGAGAATCTTGAGGCACAGAGAGTTGGGTCTTTGCCCAAGGTCACAGAGCTGGGAAAGGGCAGCATTGAGGATAGACAGTTGGCCAGAGATCACCAGACTCCAGGACTGGGCGTGGATGTAGAGCAGACCTGCTCCCCTGGAGCTGAACGGTGCTTTTCTGCTTATTCCCACAGGTTCTCATGGTTGAAAAACCACTTAGAAGACCTACACAAGGAAGGACAGGGTCCTGACACTATCCATATAGTGTCTGAGATTGTGAAGCCCTGAATCTTGCACCTATTTTCCAAGCTGTTGGGTCTGAGGTCTTTATAGATCCCCGCAAGCCTGTCTGAGATTGTGATGTCTGCAGACTCTTCCCTTGGTATATTCCCAGCTCTTCGATGTGGGACCCTCGGGATACCCCCAACCCCTGTGTCCTGAGTGCAGGGTACAGATAACATGAAAGTGTTCCCATTTCAAGAAACCAGTTTAAACAGGTGTGGAAGGTTAACCTTCGGCCAGATACCAGCATGTGCAAATGCTTGGAGGTGCCACTGAACTGGGAATAGGTAGTGCAGGTCTTTATTTTCTTTTTTAAATAATTTTTAAAAAAATCCTCACCTGTGTGGATCCTCACCTGGCCTCCTTGGCTCAGCAGTTGGAGTGTCAGCCCCCAGACCGAAGGGTCTCAGGTTCAATGCCAGTCAAGGGCCCATACCTGGGTTGCAGGTTCAACCCCTGGTGCCATTCGGAAGGCAACCAATCGATGTGTCTCTCTCACAGTTATGTTTCTCTCCCTCTCTCTCCTTCCCTCTCCCCTTTACCTCCCCCCTCCTCCTTCCATTCTCTCCAAAACAATTTAATGGAAAAATATCCTCGGGTGAGGATTAGCCAAAAAATAAAAATAAAAAATCCTCCCCTCTGGGTATGTTTATTGACTTGAGAGAGAAAGGGAAACATAGACATCAGAGAGAAATATCAAACTGATATTTCTTTTATGTGCCCTGACTGGGAATGAACCTTCAACCTTTTGGTATACGGAACAATACTCTAACCAACTGAGCCACCCTGCAAAGGTAGGTCTCCATTCTTTTGTTAAAAATGAAGAGAAGGGGGTCAGTAATCACCCCTGTAATGTAGCTGCCTAAGAAGTTGAGCATCTGTTATGGAGGTAAATGGACCTGTGGACAAGAAGAAGGAGTTGGTCTCTCCTGGATGTAACAGGCTTCATCTGGCTGCACATGGACAACAGATTGTAGGATTGGGGGGGAGGCAGCTGCTCTAATCCAGATGAAAATTTGTGGACAAGAGTGGTGACTGTGGAGGTGGTAGAAGAAATTGGATTCTGGATCTATTTTTATTTTTTTTATTTTTTATTTTATTTTTTTTTTTATCATCCTCACCCGAGGACATTTTTCCATTTTTTGTTCAGGTAGAGTGGGAGGGAGAGAGAGGAACAGAGAGAGAGAGAAACATCGATGTGAAAGGGACACATCGAGTGGCTGCCACCTGCACGACCAACCAGGGCCGGGACAAACTGCAACCGAGGTACATGCCCTTAGCGGGAACCGAACCCGGGTCTCTCCGGACCGCAGGCGGACGCTCTAACCGCTGAGCCAAACCGGCCAGGGCTGGATCTATTTTTAAAGAAGGGCCATGCAGCCCTGGCCGTTTTGGCTGTTTTTAGAGCTTCGGCCAGCAGACCAAAGGATCACAGGTTCGATTCCCAGTCAAGGGCATGTACCTGGGTTGCATGTTCGATCCTCAGCCCTGGTGTGGGTCATGTGGTAGACAACCAATCAGTGTCTTTCTCACATCGATCCCCCACCCCCCTCCATTCTATTTAAAATAATAAATCAATGGAAAAATATCCACAGGTGAGAATTAACAATAAAGGGGGGGCATGGATTTTTGGATGTTGTAGGTGAGGGAGAAAAAGGAGGAGTTGAGAACAACCTCAGGAGCTTTGGTCTTAGCTGCTGAAGTGATGGATGCTCTATCAACTGGGCTGCAGAAGACGGTGGTAGATAAATTTTTCTTTGGGGAATATCAGAAGTTTTGTTTAGACCCTGTGAAGAGTCTGTGAAGTTTCAGAGACCAATGAGTAGAGGTATGAAGTGGGCAACTGGACACACAGGTCTAGAAATCTGGGCAAGTTTACATGGTAGAGATGTGCAAAAGTGGTGGCTTTTCTGTGGACCACCGTGGAGCTGTGGATCACATGTAAGGAGGGCAATGCAGTTCATGATGGTAATGCTAATTAGCAGATCCAAAAGAAGAGGGTGCATGCTGAGGAGAGAAAAGATTGTGGGAATGGTGTGGGAGGGAGGTTGATCTGGCAGGGGGCCAAAACTTCGGTGGGATGGGTGAACATTAGATAACCGTGGAGGCAGAAGGAAAATTGAGAGATGACACTATAGAACAGGGCTCCTGAATATGTATGGATTCACCAGAATTTTGTGGTGCGTTTTGGTGGGATCTGGGGAGTTTCCGTCTTGTCAGCGAATAAGATCTGGAACAAATGTGGTCGTTGTGTCACTGTTCCTGTAAAAGTGACCAGTGGCACTGGGCTTTTAAGGAAGATTGGAGAACGGAGGATTGTGGCTACTGCGGTGATATCAAGTGCAGTGCAGAATTGGAAAGGGGTTGTTATTATCTGAAATTAATGTGATTCTGGGTGGCTAATAGTGAAGTAAAGTGAGAGGTAGGCAGGGAGGTCTTCAGAGCCTCATTTGGGGCTTTTCCTGGCTAGGAGACCCCTCAGAGGACTGGGGTTGTGTGGGATCCTTCTTGAATAGGTCAAGCACTCTGGGTGCCATGTGCCAAGTACATGAGTGAGTCAAGAGAGATAGATGCCTGTGGTATGGATCAGGAGCGTGGCAGAGCTTTTGGACTGGATCTGCAGTCTGATGATGTGAGAGAGGTTTGACCTACTAAACGATGTGTACATCAAGAAGTATGAGCTGAGTGCCCCATGTTTGGTTGTCTCTTGGAGGCACAGTGTGGGAAACCCCAGATAAATTGCTTGTCATGGGTGATCCATGCCAGGTTCAGGACTTAGATGGCATTTATCTGCCCACCCCTCCTGGCTGTAGTTGCTGAGGGCAAGAACAGTGATTAATGGAACAGTGAGCAGATAGCATCACTGGTACCAGGGCCTGGTATCTCCTCTGGGGTGGGGAGCCCTGGTGGACGATGAGCAATGGGAAAATGTGTGAGGAGCTGGGTAACAGATTTTCAGAGAGACACTATTCATGGTTTTATTTAATTCTGACAGGTTGATGTGACCTTTGAGGATGTTGCTGTGTACTTCTCTCAGGAGGAATGGAGGCTCCTTGATGAGGCTCAGAGATGCCTGTACCACGATGTGATGCTGGAGAACTTTGCACTAGTATCGTCTCTGGGTAAGACCCTCACTCTCCCCATTGACATGGACTAGTCTTTGCATTTATTTCCCCATGTCCCCTTTTTCCCAAAGGGGGCGTTGTCCTCACATACACTGTGGACACTGCTTGCTTCTCCAGTTTTCTGGGTAGCTGCTGCTCTTGGTAAGGCACGTTTGTTTGCACTCCCTCATCTGTCCCTACAGTCCCAGTACATGCTGTACTGAACCCTAATAGGAGCTTAATGATTCTACCTTGTTTTCCTTCTCATTGGCTGGGTCATGTATCCAGATAGATGGCTCTTCTATGGCCCAGTTTCCTACCCCCCCTTTTTTGACATTTCCTTGTGCTTGTCTATGCCAGCAATCACAGGCATTGTTGTCATTGCTTACCGGTACCGTGGACTGTTTTTTTCAAAATCTGTTTCTATTTATTTTTAGAGAAAGGAAGGGAGAGATAGAAACATTGATGAGAGAGAAACATTGATCAGCTGCCTCCTGCACACCCCCCACTGGGGATCGAGCCCACAACCCTGGCACATGTATTGACCAGGAATTGAACTAGTGACCTCTTGGTGCATGGGATGATGCTCAGTCCACTGACCCACACCAGCCGGGTTATTTTATTTTTTTAAGACTCTACATATAAGTGATATTGTACAGTATTTGTTTTTCTCAGTCTTGCTTATTTCACTGCATTGTGCCCTACAGGTTAATTGATGTTGTCATAAATGCATGATTTCCTTTTTTTTTAATCCTCACCCGAAAATATTTTTTCATTTATCTTTAGATAAAGTGGGAAGGAGAGAGAAACATACATGTGAGAGAGATGAATGTGCCCCTTGGCTGAAATCTAACTCAAGACTCTTTGGTCTAGGGGCCAAAGCTCTAAGCGCTGAACAAGACCAGCCATGGTTGATTTCCTTTTTATTTTATTTTATTATAATTTTTTTTCTTTTTGTGGTACGTGCCCCTAGCAGGAACCAAACCCAGGACTCTCTGGCTTGCAGGCTAACGCTCAACTGCTGAGCCAAACTGGCCAGGGCTGATTTCCTTTTTAATTGGTGAATAATACACCACTGTATATGTATAAGAGACTCTCTTTATCCATTCATCTGTAGACAGATACTTTAGGTAATTTCATACCATGACTATTATGAATAATGTTGAAATAAACATGGGAGTGCAAATATCTCTTTGAGATACTGATTTTTGTTTCTTTTGGATATAGTATACACAGAAGTGGGATTGTTGGGACTATATGGTAATTCTATTTTTAATGTTTTAAGGAACTTTTGTATTGTTGTCCTAGTGGCTACAATGAGTTACATTCCTACAAACAGGGTACAGAGCATTTCTTTTCTTCATATTCTGGTCAACACTTGTTATTTCTTGTCTTTTTGCGTCCTAACAAGTATGAGGTGATATCTCATTGTGGTTTGAATTTGCATTTCTGTGGTATCTCTTGGCCATTTGTATGTCTTTGGATAAATGTTTATATAGTACATCCTTTGCCCATTTTTAAATGAGTTTTTTGTTATCGGGTTGTGTGAACTCTTTATATATTCTGTATATTAACCCCTTATCAGATATATATTTTGCAAATGTTTTCTCCTGTTTTTTTAGGTAGGCTTTTTATTTTGTTGATTGTGCCTCTTGTTTTGCAGAAGCTTTTTCGTTTGATGTAGCCCACTTGTTTATTTTTGCTGTTGCTTTCATATCCAAAAAATTATTGTCAACACCAATGTCAAGGAGCTTTTTATCTGCTTTTTCTTCAAAAAGCTTAAGAATTTCAGATCTTAAATATTTTTTACATTCAAGTTACTTGGAATTTTTGTAAATTATGTAAGATAGGGGTTCGGTTTCTTTCTCTTTTTTTTGTACGTGAATGACCAGTTTTCTCATTTATTTAAAAAAAAAATTATTGATTGATTTCAAAGTACAGATCTTTCACCTTTTAGGTTAAATGTATTTGTGAGTATTTTTTGTTTTTAATCCTCACTTAAGGATATCCAGTTTCCCTTGATTTTTAGATAGAGTGAAGGTAGGTAGAGAGAGAGAGAGAAACATTGACGAGACAGAGACACAGATTAGTTGTCTCATGCACAACACCAACCTGGGCCAGGGTTCAAACCTGCAACCCCAGTATGTGCTCTTGACCAGGAATTGAACCACAGACTTCGGTTCCTGGGTCAATGCTCAAACCACTGAGAAAAACCTGCCAGGGACACTGATGTTATTTTAAATGGGATAGTTTTTAAAAATTTTTTCTGCAGATAGTTTATTATTACTGTATATAAACACAACTGAGTTGGGCATTTTGTTTGTTTTCTTAAATTTTTTTCTTTATAGACGTTAGAAAGGAAGAGAGAGGGAGAGATAGAAATATTGATGAGAGAGAACATCTGTTGGCTACCTCCTGCATGTCCCCCATTGAGAATCAGGCCTACAACCTGGGCACATGCCTTGACCTGGAATTGAAAAGGTGAGCTCTTGGTGCGTGGGTTTATGCTCATCCACTGAGCCACACCAGCCAGCTCATTTCTGATTTTGAGTCTTCTCTTTTAGTTTATCTAAAAGCTTGTCAGCTTGCCCTGGCCGGTTTGGCTCAGCGTTTAGAGCTTTGGCCTGTGGTCCGGAGAGACCTGGGTTCAATTCCCGCTAAGGGCATGTACCTTGGTTGCAATTTGTCCCGGGCCCTGGTTGGGTCGTGTGGGTGGCAACCACTCGATGTGTTCCTTTCACAGTTTCTCTTTCTCTCCCCCTCCCACTCTATCTGAACAAAATATCGAAAAATGTGCTTGGGTGAGGATAAAAAGTAAATAAAAGCTTGTTAGTTTGTTTCATTGATCTTTTCTCGTTTTTTTCTGTTTCTTTCATTTATTTCTGCTTTGATTATTGTTATTTGCCTTCTGTTGCTAACTTTGACCTTAGTTTATATTTTTTTCATACCTTAAATTATAAAGGGAGGTTGTTTGATATCTTTCTTTTATCTGAAGGTACGCATTTATCACTATAAACTTCCTTCTTACTGCTGCTTTTGTCGCATTCCATACAGTGTGTTATGTTTCTATTTTCATTTGTCTGAATACACTTTTTTTATTTGTTGTTTATCCTCACCCGACGATAATTTTCCATTGGTTTTTAGAAAGAGTGGAAAGGAGGAACAGAGAGAGAGTAAAACATTCATGTGAGAAAGACACATCTATTGGTTGCCTCCCATGTGACCCAAACTAATGCCAGGGATCAAACCTGCAACCCAAGTACGTGCCCCTGACCAGGAATTGAATCTTCGACTCTTTGGTCTATAGGCCATCGCTCTAAGTGCTGAGCCAAACTGGCTGGGCCTGAATATATATTTTTGATGTCTTTGGCTCAATGATTGTTCAGAAGTTTGTTCTTTAAATTTTAGATATTTGTGATTTTCCTGCTTTCTTTAATGATTTCCAGTTTCAGGACATTTTGGTTGGAAACAATACTTGCTATGATTTCAGTCTTCTTAAGTTCATTAAGACTTGTTTTGTGACCTAACATGTGATTTGTTATACCATATGTTTCTTGTGCACTTGAGAAGAATGTGTTTTCTGTTGCATCTTCCTTATGTGTCTTTTTAAAAAATATATATTTATCTGTTGATTTTAGAGGGTCGGGGGAGGGAGAGAGAAACATTGATGTTTCACCTATTTATGCATAAATTCATCAATTGATTCATATATGTGCCCTGACTGGAGATCGAACTTGCAACCTTCATGTATCAGGACCACGCTCTAACCAACTGAGCTACCTGGCCAGGGACAAGTCCATCTGCTCTAAATTGAAATTCAGGTTCACTATTCTCTTACTGATATTTTTGTCTGGTGATCTATCTGTTGTTGAAAGCGGGGTATTGAAGTCCCCTACCATTATTCCGTTACTGTCTGTTTCTGTCTTCAGATCAGGTAATACTTCTTTAATATAGTTAGATGCTCTAATATTGGGTACATATGTACTTATAACTCTTATATCGTCTTGGTGACTTGGCTGTTTTATCATTATATGAGGAGATTCTTTGTCTCTTGCGATGTTTCCTGATTTAAAGTCTTATTTTATCTGATGTAAGCATAGTTACCCCTACTCCTTTTTGTTTTTCAATAAAGTCATTGTGTACTTCACAAATATTTCTTTGTACTCAGGTTGCTGTTGTGGAACAAAGGATGTGGAGGCACCACTTAAACAGAGCGTTTCTGTGGGAGTGTCACAGGCCAGGACTCCAAAGAAATCTCCATCTTCCCAGAAGACCCACCCCTGTGAAATGTGTGGTCCAGTCTTAAGAGATATCTTTCACTTGACTGAGCACCAAGAAACACTACACAGAATGAAACTGTTGAGGTGTGGGGCATGTGCAAAACAAATTTCTTTCACTGCAAACTGTCCTCAGTACCAGGAAAAGCACATAGGAGAGAAAGTCTTCATAAGTGATGGGGACAAAGCCTCATTTGCAAAGAGCTGCAATTCCCGTGAGGAGGTTGGGAAGGACTGCCTGACTACCTCAGGAAGTCTCCAGCAGCAGGACACTCACACAAAGGAGAAGCCAAACAAAATCTCCAAATGTAGGGTGACATTTCAGCACACAAAAAGTAATAATACTTGGGAAGAACGCAAGAAAGCCTTTAGTCCCAAACACACACATGTTCAGGACTCAGGTGTGCACACTAAGAGACAGTGTTTTGTGTGCCATGAGTGTGGGAAAACATTCAGATACAAATCCTCGTTTGTTATTCACCAGAGAGTCCACACTGATGACAGAATTCATGTATGTGATGACTGTGGAAAATCCTTTAGGGGAAGCTCAGCCTTCAATCAACACCGAAGAATTCATTCTGGGGCAAGGCAGCACAAGTGTGGCAAGTGTGGCAAGTCCTTTAACCAAAAATTTGTCCTCATTTACCCTCAGAGAAGTCACACTGGAGAAAGTTGTTACGTGTGTTGTGAATGTGCACCATCTTTTAGGCATAGCTCTGTTCTTACTCAACAACAGACAGTTTATCCTGGAGAAGTGAGTTTTGAGTGCAATGAATGTGGGAAATTCTTTAAACGAAAATCTGACCTCATTGAACATGGGAGAGTTCACACAGGAGAAAGGCCTTATGAGTGTAGCGAATGTGGAAAATCTTTTACTTCTAGCTCTGCCCTTCGTTATCATCAGAGAGTTCACACTGGAGAAAAGCCTTATAAGTGTAGTGAGTGTGGGAAGTCTTTTACCTCTAGCTCTGGCCTCCGTTATCATCAGAGAGTTCATACAGGAGAAAGGCCATATGAGTGTAGTGATTGTGGGAAATCATTTACTCAAATAAATCACCTCATTATACATAGAAGAGTTCACACAGGAGAAAGGCCTTATGAGTGCAGTGAATGTGGGAAATCCTTTAGCCACAAATCTTACCTCTCCCAACACCAGAGAGTTCATACTGGAGAAAGGCCTTTTGAATGTAGTGAATGTGGGAAGTCTTTTACCTCTGGCTCCGCCCTCTGTTATCATCAGAGAGTTCATTCTGGAGAAAAGCCCTATGAATGCAGTGAATGTGGGAAATCTTTTACCAATGGACCAATACTCATTCGACACCGTAGAGTTCACACAGGAGAAAGGCCTTATGAGTGCAGTGAATGTGGGAAATCCTTTACCCAAAGAAATCACCTCAATATACATCAGAGAGTTCATACAGGAGAGAGGCCTTATGAATGTCGTGAATGTGGAAAATGTTTTACCTCTGGCTCTGCCCTTCGTTATCATCAAAAAGTTCACATTGGAGAAAGGCCTTATGAGTGTAGTGAATGTGAGAAGTCTTTTACCTCTAGCTCTGCCCTCCGTTGTCATCAGAGAGTTCACACAGGGGAAAGGCCTTTTGACTGCAATGAATGTGGGAAATCTTTTAGGGACAGTTCCCAGTTGAATCAACACCAGAGGGTTCACACTGGAGAAAAACCTTATGAATGTACTGATTGTGGGAGAACCTTTAGCCAGAATTCATATCTCTCCAAACACAGGAGAATTCACACCGGAGAAAGGCCTTATGAGTGTACTGAATGTAGGAAATCGTTTACTTCTGTTTCTGCCCTGGGTTATCATCAGAGAGTTCACACAGGAGAAAGGCCTTACAAGTGCAATGAATGTGAGAAAACTTTTACAAATAGCTCAATACTCATTAGACACCGAAGAGTTCACACAGGAGAAAGGCCTCACGAGTGCAGTGAATGTGGGAAATCTTTTACCCAAAGAATTCACCTCATTATTCACCGGAGAGTTCACACAGGAGAAAGGCCTTATGAATGCAGTGAATGTGGGAAGTCTTTTACTTCTCGTTCCACTCTCCATTATCATCAGAGGGTTCATACGGGAGAAAGGCCTTATGAGTGCAGTGAATGTGGCAAATCTTTTAGCCGAAAATCTAACCTCTCTCAGCACATGAGAGTTCACACTGGTGGAAGGCCTTAGATGTATAGGAAATGTACAGATTTTTTTGTTGTTGATGTTTTATTCGGTGTTAATAGCACTGGAGGAAACTGAGGCCCCATTTGTCTGAATTTAATCTTATGCATCCAAACATCAACAATAGGGAGATTCTCCATAAGTTTTAGTTATATGGGAAGCATGTGTGCCTATGTTGCATTTTCTAATTTACACATATCTCTTGCCAGACCTATGTCACTGGAGATTTCTTTGGTCGAAGCTATTTCACCTCTACCATCTAGCAGGTCTCCACAGTTTGCATCAGTCACCATCCTGATGTGCTCAGGACAGCTTACTCTGTTGTCTGATTTGTGGGAGGAAATTGGGAATAGCCTGATCTCTTAAGAGATTTGCATTCCCTTCACTCTGACTAGTTGGAGCACAAATCTGATTCAATGTTGACCCCAGAGAACATCATCTGAGTTCAACTGGCAGCTTGAGAAGCACTGTTCTTTTTTTCAGAAAGACCTGGTTCCCTAGATAACCTGTAGTGAATATTTCCAAGTCACGAATCCAAGAACTGCCAGGTCCATGTCCCTTTGGTTTGTGAAATAATGAATGTCTTATTCTTTAGGTCCTCTTAATCTTGGGTGTACTGTTTGCTATGTGGGGTAGTTTATACGCAAATTTGGGCTCTACAGACAGGTGATCAATTTGTATAGGGGTCTCAAAATTTCTGTCTCACAGAGGATGGTGTGTTGGCAGAAATGAGCTCACTGGTTTGCCAAATTTATATTACTTGCATCCTTCTAGGAAAAGCTGCAGGGCTTTCTGGTCATGTTAAGCCTGAATGCTATGAGTTTTAGGAGACATAGAGAATTCACCCTGAGAAGGAATAGGTGTTCCAACCTCAAGTGTTTCTGGGAGCAGTATGAATTTATTGTTTAGTAGGTATGCCAGTACTTTGGAAGGGAATCACTTTCAAAGTTCTTATAGAGAGCCATGTGCCCTTTTGTCTATAACCATTATTACATGGTTGATGGTCACTGGTAGTAGTACCGTAGAGGTTAGGGGAAACCATTATTGCTACAGAATCACTGGCCTAATAGGGATTGGAGAAGACTGCAGCCAGCTGGATGGAATGTGCCTCTTTTAAGTGTGTATGCAAAAATGTTTCTGTGAAAATGACTGCAGAACGAGTGTGAGGATCTCCGGGCATGTTTATCTTCTGTGGCTGAAGTCACTTTCATTGAAAATAATAAAAATATTTTCTGAATTTCAATACGTTCTCATGTTCACTTCAAGATAATTCATGCCCAGGCAGGAAATCAAAGATAAAGGAAAAGGGAATTTATAATCCAGGAATGTGGTGTTTGTGATGCAACTATATCTTGAGACTTTTTTAAGTTTTATTTTTTTTGGTACATGCCCCTAGCGGGAACCAAACCCAGGACACCCTGGTCCGCAGGCCATCGCTCCAACCACTGAGCCAAACCGGCCAGGGCGAGACTTTTTTAAGTTTTAGTATGGTATAATACACATGTAGTAAATGACATGTTTCATATATAGTATCTGATGAATTTTGACATGTACTAAACTGAACCCATCACCATAGCCATAAGAACTAACCATATCAGTCACTGTGTATTTACTTTATGTTCTTTTATACTCTCACTCTCCATGTACTTCACAGCTCTGCAAGTAACTGTTAATTTACTTTTTTTTTTAATAGACAACTTTGCATTTCATAGAATATATATGATGGCAATAAAAGTTTTTCTGCTTTTATTTCTGTTGCTTAAATACTTGGAGATTTATTTAATGATGTATCATCCTTTTGCTGAGATATATTCTTATCTTTGAATATATATCACCATTAGTTTATCCATTCATTTGTTCATGTACATTGAGTTATTTCTAATTTTTTACCTTGAAAATAAAGCTCAGACCTGGCTGGGTTTCTCAGTTGGTAACAGTGCCATACCAATACACAGTTTCTGGTTCAATCCCCAATCAGGGCACATTGGCTAGTAAACCAATGAGTGCATAAATAAGTGGAACAACAAAGTGATATTTCTGTATCTTTCTCTCTAAAATCAATAAATATTTTTAAAATAAAGCTGGTACAAGCATTTGTATGTAATTTTTTATATACACGTGTGTTTCATTTACTTTTGTCAATAGCTCAGTTCCTGGTCTGGATCATAGGATAGATAAATTTTAATTTAAAGATATTAGCAAATTGTGATCTAAATTGATCGTAACTTTTGCATTCTTCCAGTGGTATTTGAGGGATTCAGTTCCCCCACATCCTAGAGAATATTTGGTTTGGTCAGTTCTTTATTTCAACCCTTTTTTTTTTTTTTTAAATCCTCACCCGAGGATATTTTTCCATTTTTTGTACAGATAGAGTGGGAGGGAGAGAGAGAGAGAAACATCGATGTGAAGGGACACATCGAGTGGCTGCCACCCACACAACCAACCAGGGCCGCCGGGGACAAACTGCAACTGAAGCACGTGCCCTTAGCAGGAACCGAACCCGGGTCTCTCCGGACCGCAGGCCGACGCTCTAACCGCTGAGCCAAACTGGCCAGGGCTATTTCAACCCTTTTTATAACTTTGTTGTGCACTTCACTGTTTGATTGCATTTCCCTAAGGATTTATGGAGACCCCCTTTTTTTTCAGATGTGTATTTGCTATCTCTATGTTTAGTGAAATTTCTGTTCAAGCGTTCAACCTAACCTGATAGCCAGTTTCGTTATTTTCTTTTTCAAAAGGCCGTGAAACAACAAATAGGCATGTTGAAATTTCACTCATTTTGTGTGTTTTTTATAGGGTAATTGGTTTTTATATTGGAATACTGTGTTATAATTTTTAAATTTGTTATGCTATGCGCAACTTAATGGACACTTAATTTTAACCTGCCCTATAGACTTTTGGAAGTCTAGACATTTAATAATACAATAAGCCCTTGCTTTGTATTATTCTTCCATATTTCTGGTCTGCTATTGGAGGGTTTGGGGTTGGGACAGGTCTCTAAGGGGGACCAGATGGCATGAGGATAGGCAGGGTTTTTTGAGTTCCAAAGCCCAGTAAAGAGGGAAATGGGAGGTCTGTGATCAGAGTCCCCATGCCCTGGTTCAGAAAGCCTGGTTTTGAATCCCAGATTCCCAAATATTGAGAGATGAAGGGAAATGGGGCTCCCTTTACTCTGGGCCTCAGTTTTCTGTGTAAAATGGGTATGTCTGTACCTCAGCTTTTGGAGGAGGTCAAGAGCTAAGTTGCCTATTTGCTGTGTGGGCGCAAAGGCAGCCTACCTACCCATGGATCTCTCTCACAAGGACGTTTCAATCTCTCCCTTTCTAAAAAAAATCAATAAAAACAAAATAAAAATAAGAGACCATTTTTGGGTTTATTTTGGTGTACACAGTGTTTTGGGCACATACACACTTAAAACAGTCTGCATTATTAATACACTTCATTACTTTTGTAAGTTCAGACATTTGGTAATATAATAAAGCCCTGCATTTTAGTGTTTACCCATTTTCGTGGTTTATTATATGAGGTTGGTGGTTTGGAGCAAGACACAAAGGTGCATCACCTGGTGTGAAGATGAATGGGAATTTGTTGAGACCCAAAGCTCCCCAAGAAGCCAAACAGAAGAGATCAGTGATCAGACTCTAGATAGTATGTGCCCTGCAACCTAGTTTCAAATCCTAAATCTCTGACAGTTGTCATGACAACAGGCAAAAGATCCACTCTGTGGGCCTCACAGTCCACCTGTGGAAAAGGGGGGTAAAGAGCTGCCCTATTCTGGGCTGTAGTTTGCATTCCATTGGCATTGGCTGTGGCACCAGTCATCATGTGTGGGTGCTATCCACAGGCAAGAGGCCACTGGGACTTTCTGCCGTGGGTACTTGTGAAAAATAAATGGAGGTCCTAGTCTGTATGGTTCATTTGGGTGAGTGTTTTCCCATACACTGAAAGGTTTTCTCTTTGATTCCCCATCAGGGCACCTGCCCAGGTTTCAGGCTCCATCCCTGGTAGGGGGAGCGGAGTGCAGGATGCAGCCTATTAATGTTTTGCTCTCATTCATGTTTCTCTCTTTCCCTCACTCTCTCTCTCTCAAAATGAATAAAAAATTTATAAAAATAAATGGGGCTTCCCAGAACCCCCAGTTTGCTGCAGTCCACACAGACCCCACCATGTGGAGGTTACTTCAGGGCATTGAGGTCTCAGTGTGGATTCCTTACCAGGGAACCTCTGGGTTACTCTAGATCTCCAAAACTGACTTTCTTGATAATATAAAAATAATGAAGGTGCTAACCATGGTTTCTGTGAGGGTCAACAGAAGTACCAAAACACTGAATACTTACCGGTGCTACTATTCCAGGGTTAATTCTTACAACACCCTGAGTATTTTTCAGGAAATCAACTATTACAAAGATAAAGTGGGTTTTCTAAGTCATAAAACAGACAAATGTTACATTCAAGAGACTAGATTCAAACCAGGGAGTCTGGCTCAAGAGTTGGGGACAATCTCTGCAGGATGTGTCTAGTTCTAAACCCTGTACAGGTGGCCAGGGAGACCAGGGAGGCTCAGCTGCTGCTGCTGCTATTTCCATTGTTGGGATTATCATCATGGTTTCCCCCCCTAATTTTTTTGATGTGTCAGACAGAGCACTCACAGTTTGCCCCACAGGCTTCATGGGAACACCATCTGTTTCATCTCCTGTGGTGGCTCCATTAGAAGCCTCTTTGAGACTTAAATGCACTTTGTCTGCCTCAACTTTTTTTTCCCTTTATTGATTTTAGAGAGAGAGGAAGTGAGAGGGAGAGAGAGATAGAAACATCGATGAGAGAGAACATAAATTGGCTGCTTCCTGCATGACCCATACTGGGGATCGAGCTCACAACCTGGGCATGTGTCCTGACCAGGAATCAAACCAGCAACTTCTTGGTGTATGGGTCGACACTCAACCACTGAGCTACACTGGCCAGACTGTCTGCCTCAACTTTGAGCTTAGAAGAGAACTTGGCACTAAAAAAACCAGGCAATTCAGGCCTGGTTATTCACCTCACCCACCTTTTCAGTGGCAGTCTTGGATCCCATCCACCATGGTGAAGGGGATGCCTCAGTTTGATTCTTTAAATGTTGTTACATGGCTCTGACATTCATTCTGCAGGAGTGGAAACATATGGACATGTACACTGACACCTCATATTCAGAAGTGATGCTGAAGAGGTGTAGGATCTTTACCTCATCTCATTGGTTGAGTGCTCACCTCTATTCCATGCAGGGGATCTGCTGCTCATGTGATTCTTTCCTTTCTGTTTATACTGGATGAGACCATGTGGGTCATGTTCTGGACCCACATCCTCCATTCCAGTCTTCCTGTGTCTGTACCAGAAGTCTTTGTGTAAAAATGTATTCACCCCCATTCCCAGCACATTCTGGCTGTATTTCAGATCCCTACTCCAGATTCTCCAAGATGAGAGCTGATTAGGCAAATGTGGTTGAGGAAATGTCCCCGTGGCCCACTTGGTAGAGTTGTGGATGATGAGCTTTTCTAAGAGAAGGGGTTGTTTCAGGAGCATCCCTGATGAGACATTTGCCATCAGTGATCACTGGGAATCTTCCTAAACAACACAATCCATTAAAAGGCACCAGGTGGCATATATGGACACTCGGAAAACTAACTCATTTCCCCCTTGTTGTTCCCACCTCACTGCTGTTGGTAGAATGTCTTAGATTAGCGACAAATCTCAAAAGCCCTTTTAACTGTTACTCATTTTTATTTTATTTTACTTTATTTTAGAGAGAAAGGAAGAGAGAGAGAGAAAAAAAAAAACCCATCAGTTTGTTGTTCCACTTCTTTGTGCATTCATTGGTTGATTCTTATATGTACCTTGACCTGGGATCTAACCCACAACCTTTGACATATATCGGATGGCACTTTAACCAACAGAGCTCTCCGCCAGGGCCTGATTTTCCATTTCAACAGAAGGAATAGCCCTAAGGAGGCCTTGTGAGCTGTCTGGACTTTAGAACATTATTTTGATGTCATTATACCTCCCCCTCCTCCTCCCCCTCCCCCTCCATTATTTTATTTTATTTATTTTTTGTGGTACATGCCCCTAGCGGGGACTGAACCTGGGACTCTCTGGTTCGCAGGCCAATGATCAACTGCTGAGCCAAACTGGCCAGGGCTTTTATTATTATAATTTTGGTTAATCCTCATCTGAGGATATTTTTTAAATTGATTTTTTTTTTAGAGAGAGTGGAGGGAAAACGGTGGGGGAAGGGAGAGAGAGAGAGAGAGAGAGAGAGAGAGAGAGAGAGAGAGAGAAACATCAGTGTGAGAGAGACACATGGATTGGTTGTCTCCCGAACAAGCCATAACTGGGTGCCTGAGATCTGAACCTACAACCTAGGTATGTGCCCTTGACCAGGAATCAAAACCGTGACCTTTTGGATCCAGGGTTGACACTTTAACCACTGAGCCAAACCAGCCAGGGTGTAAACATAAATTTTATATGCACTGCAGAACCAACAAATTAGTGTCACTCACTTTATTGGCATATTTATTTGTGTTTTTTTTTCTGGAACCCTACCCCATCTTCTGGGCTGAATTCCTGTAATTGCATGTCTTTGATGTCCTCCATTGTTTGCAATAAATGTCTAGTTTGAGCCAGAGGCATCAAATCAAATCTGTCTTGACTCTTAACCACACGGCTGCACAGGCAGAGGTGAGACTTCTGATCTTTCTTCTTTCATTTTACCCCCTATTGGTTTGGAATGTATATACTTTGTTTTTGTTGACTCTTTAGAGAGAGAGAGAGAGAAAGAGACATTCAAGAGAGAAGGAAGCAGCATCCTTCGGCTGGCTGCCTCCTGCACGCCCCCTACTGGAGATCAAACCTATGTCCTGACCCGAATGGAATCAGCGACCTCGGTGCACGGGATGACTTTCAACCAGCGAGCCACACTGGCTGGGCAGGAACAGATGCTCTTAAGTATTGGTGTCTGTGTCGGGGCATTAACTTTGCACAGTATGTCCAAATGAGGCAGGATAGATAGCGTTCCTATACCGCTTGGAAGAGCGACACGCCGGATGGCCTGAATCAACAAGGAACAGGAGGCCTGGAGGTCAGACAGTGCAGATCCTGAAGCAAGATGTGCAAAACCAGCAGCTAAAAAAAAAAAAAAAAAAAAAAAGAAGGGAAAAAAGCCGCGCTGGCGTACTAGAGACAACTTTGTCCAAAAAAGTGTATCTACCGGGGAGCATTACACTGCACGTTGTGATATCGGGGTCTGTGTCCTAAAATCTACTCCTGGAGTCGGCAGGAAAACGCAGGAGCCCGGCGTCGGCGTGTGGGAACCATGTTACCCGGTGGCCGGGAGCCGAAGTTACCCGGTGGCCGGGAGCCGAAGAGCCGCGCACTGAGCCAATGGAAGCTCAGAAACGGCATTTCCGGTTGGGCCGGGAGCCGAAGAGCCGCGCACTGAGCCAATGGAAGCTCAGAAACCGCATTTCCGGTTGGGCGCGGGGCGGGACTTCTGCTGCGCGCATTTCCGCTTCTTTCAGTTTCCCGTCACCCGGTGAGGAGCTCCCGCTGGCGGAGTCTGTGGAGAGGCTGAGAGGCTGGAGGTCGCCGCAGCAGGTGTGACGCTGAGAGACGTCGCAGGGGGACCCGCTCCGGCTCGGGACAGGGACCCCGGTGCCAGGGACCCTCCCCGCCCGCAGAGTCCGATGGCGGCGGCCCAGGTGAGAGCGCGTCCCCGGGCCTCGCCGCCTCCCCGCCCCGAGCCCTGCAGCCCGGCCCGACCGAGAGGCGCCCGGGGTGACACGGATGACGGGGGTGCGAGAGGGGGGCCGACAGAGGGCCCGCCTGCCGCTTCGTCACAGGACCCCTTCCTCCCGGGGGCCGGTCTGGGCGCTGGCGCCTGTCCGGCGACCCCCAGGACCTTGACGGACCCAGGAAGGGTGTCGAGGAAAATCCGAGTGAGAAGAACGCGCGTCTTACTCGGGCGGAGGGAGCAGGGGGCCGGGAGCCTGGAGGCTGCGATGAATGGGGCCCAGTCCGTTCTTGGGGTTTCGGGTGTTGCCGAGGCTGGCGCATCGTCTCCCGGCTTTGTGGCGCCACATGCTGAGCTGGCGCTCTGCTTGGTGGGGGTCCTGTTGCTTTTCGGTGACCACCGCAGGGGTTTCCTGCCTTTAACCGCTGCCCTTTGTTCGTGCCCGGAGGTGGGGCTGCTGGTGCGAGGACGAGGGCTCCTGCCTCCTCGTTCCACTTGTAGGGATTTTTCCTACTTGTCTGCCCTGCCTCAGGGGTACTAGGTTGCTGTGCGATATTGGAGCACTCTGGGTGCCACATGCCAAGTGCTTGGGTGATTCCAGAGAGATCCCCGTGGTGCGAAGCAGGAAGGTGGCAGGGCTGAGGGCGAGAAGCGGGGTCTGAAGATGTGGAGGAGGGTGGATACTACACAGTGATGTGTGCCCAGCTAGAGGGAGTGTGAGCTGATGGCCCTGGTGTGTTGGCTTAAGGGTGAGCACAAGCTCATGTTGTTATGGAAAAGAGGACTTGGCGCTTGGCAGGTCGGCCTAGGGCCTGCCGGTATTCTGTGGGTTCTTGGTGCAGGAAACGTTTGGCAACATGAGTCCAGGTGAATTTTAGAGGATGTTTATTAAAGCTGGGGAGAGTGAAACAAGGGAGGGCTGGGGAAATGAGCCCAGGCTGGTCTGCTTTGGCTCATTAAGAAGTCAGAAAAGGGGGTTTTGGGGCCCGGTTGTGTTGGTTTGCCTGGGATGAACTGCCACTGCCCATTGCTGTCTGGTTGCAAGCCTCTTGGGGTCCCTTAGAGCCTAGGAGACTCATGCCTGTAGGGGAAGAAAAGGCAGGGGGCTTGGGCTTGCTTTTTATTTTTTATTTTATTTATTAATTTTGTGTGCGTGTGGTACGTGCCCCTAGCAGGAACCGAACCCGGGACTCTCTGGTCCGCAGGCCGACGCTCAAGTGCTGAGCCAAACTGGCCGGGGCTCGGGCTTGCATTTGGAAAGAAGAGCGTGTGCTGGGTCTTTTGTCTGGAGGCGTTTATTCCTCTCTTGCAGGTGGGAATCAAAGGGGAGGTCTCAGTGGAGGCATTCAGCAGAATATTCATGTTTTCCAGGTGTATGCCTTCAGGGTTGTGGTCCTCAGTGATTGGTCAGGGTTCCGGCAGGGGAATTTTAGTCATTGCAGCTGGTCCTGGATAGGTTTGCTGCTTTTCTGGGTCTGGAGCTGAAATACAACTGAGGCCTAGATTTCATTTCTAGGGAGGTGACCTTCTGTATTTGCTGTAAATGGCTGTCAGTTTGTTCAACTGTCTTTCTCATTTTCCCTATTTCTCTTGTCCTGGCTTACTGGCCTGTCTCAAGGTGACTATGAGGGAATATTTTGTAAAGCTGGGGACAGTGAAACAAGGTCGGGCTTATCATGGAAGAAGCAACAGGGGAGTCTAGGCTGGGCTGCCTTTGCTCTCTGGTACGTCATAGAAAAGGGGTCCTTGGGAACAAGTTTAGGGGTTAGCCTGGAATGAGTGCCGCTGCCCGTTGCTCCCCTGGTTGCAAGCCTCCTGGGGTCCCTCAGAGTTTAGTAGGTGCAGGCCTATCGGGGAAGAAGAGGGAGAAGGGAATGGTGTGGGCTGCTCCCCAGAGGAAGAGTGAGCACTGGGTCCTTTGTCTTGAGGCTTTTTTTTTTTTTAAACTTAAAAAAAAAAAAAGTTTTTTATAGATTTTTGGAGAGGAAGGGAGAAAGAGATAGAAACATCCATTAAACAGAAGCATCCATTGGCTGCCTTCTGTATGAGCCCTACCAGGATCAAGCCTGCAACCCAGGCATGTGCCCTGACCCAGTATCGAACCTTTTGGTGCATAGGACAAGGCTCAGTCCACTGAGCAACACCTGCCGAGCTCTCTTGAGGCTTTTTTTTTTTTTTTCTTTCAGGCAGGAATCTTAGAGGAGGTCTTAGTGGAGGGTTTCAGAAGAATATTCATCAGTTTTCTAGGTGTGTGCCTTCAGGGTCTATACTGATTGTTTAGTGTCAGGTCAGGGGGTCATTAGTCATTGCAGCTGACTAGTATCACCCACCTGGTTTTGCTCCTTTTCTGGGTCTGGAGCAGAAATACAACTGAGGCCTAGATGTTATTTCTAGGGAGGTGACTGTCTGTATCTGCTGTAAATTGTTCTGACAGTTGGTTCAGCTGTCTGTCTCAGTTTCCCTAGGCCACTTGTCCTGGCTTACTGGCGTGTTTCAATGTTTGGCTGTGTCTTGGAGGACTGATCTCAGAGACTTCCTGGAATTGTTTTACAGGAAGGATGGGGCCCTGCAGCCATGGCCCCAAGCTATGAGCTATTTGTCTCCTGCACATCTTGTCCATACTGGTGTTGCTGAGGGAGATCACAGTGGTTCATGTGACTGTGAAGACAGAACCCACAGCACTGGCACCAGGCCCTGGTATCCTCTCAGAAGTGGGGAACCCAGAAGGAGGTTGAGTGTGTATAAGAAGTTGTATAAGAAGTTAGGTTGGGGGTTCTCAGAAAGACTCATTTCTTTCAGTTTCAATTGTCTTAATTCTGACAGGTTGGTGTGACCTTTGAAGACATTGTCCTGTACTTCTCCAGGGAGGAATGGCACCTCCTTGATGAGGCTCAGAGATGCCTGTACTTCGAAGTGATGCTGGAGAACTTTTCACTTAAATCCTCACTGGGTAAGACTCACTCTCCCCATTGACCTGGACTAAGCTTTGCATTTCCCATGTTCCCCTTTCCCTAGGGGTTGCTCTGTCCTCAACATGTACACTGTGGGCACTGCTTGCTTCTCTGATTTTCTGAGTAGTTGCTGTACTTGGCAGGGCTGGGTTGTTCGCACTGCCCTGATCTCGCACTGCAGCCCTGGTACCTGCTGTATTGAACCCTCATAGGGAAGGGTTTGAGGTCAGTAGACTTTCAGGGAGCCAAACACATTTTTTATATTCCTGTTGATCATTTGTACATGTTTTTTGTTAATTTGTCTCTACATCCTTAGCCTCTTTTTAAACCATGGTTTTTTGTGTCAAATTTCTTATCAGATACAGGTACAAGTCTTTTTGCACTTGGCTTTACTGTGCTATGTAGGTACTCTGCTTTAAAAACATTTTAGTGTTTTGACGACTTTACTTTCAGCACATCTGCTGTGGCCATTTTCCAGCAGGCTCGGGTACTGGTTACCAGTGTTAACAGTAAAGTATTTTTAATTAAGTTTGCAAAGTTTTTTCAAACAATGCAAACCCATGGACAGATAAAGTCAAGGAAACAAATACCAAAAACACCATTAGAGCCAGACAGACCCAAGATAAAAAGTAGAACAATAAAACCAGAAATGCACCCGAGCCTGGCCGGTGTGGCTCCGTGGTTGAGTGTCAACCCACGCACCAAGATGTCTCCGGTTCGGTTCCCGGTCAGGGCACATGCCTGTGTTGTGAGCCAAATCCCTAGTGGGGAGCATGCAGGAGGCGGTGAATCAATGTTTCTATCTCTCTCCCTCTCCCTTCCTCTCTCTCACTAATATCAGTAAAGAAAAGAAAAGAAAAGGAGAGAGAGAGAGAGAGAGAGAGAGAGAGAAGGAAGGAAGGATGTCTGTCTGTCTGTCTTCAGGACAAAGACTCAACAATGGCCGCTCACTCTAGAGCACGCCCATTCCCCTTCCTGAGCATGAACCTTTTTTTTTCTCTTAATCCTCACCCAAGGACATTTTTGCATTTATCTTAAGATAGAGTGGGAGGGAGAGAGGGAGGAAGAGAGAGAGAAACATCACTGGCTGCCACCCACAGGAGCCCAAGGAGCCGGGGACAAACTGCAACCGAGGTGCGTGCCCTTAGCGGGAACTGAACCCGGGACTCTCCGGTTCACAGGCTGACACTCTAACCACTGAGTCAAACTGGCCAGGACAGCATGAACTTTTTTTTTTTTTTTTTTTAATCCTCACCCGAGGACATTTTTTCATTTTTTGTTCAGGTAGAGTGGGAGGGAGAGAGAGAGAAACATCGATGCGAAAGGAACACATCGAGTGGCTGCCACCCGCACAACCAGCCAGGGCCGGGGACAAACTGCAACCGAGGTACGCGCCCTTAGCGGGAACCGAACCCGGGTCTCTCAGGACCGCAGGCCGACGCTCTAACCGCTGAACCAAACCGGCCAGGGCCAGCATGAACTTTTTATTTTCCATAAAGTCTGATTCCCTCTAGACTTGCAAGTAGGGGCATAGTGAGAAGCAGTAGCTATTCCCAGGCACATTGCTAGATCTTTTTTTTCTCCACGGCCCCCTTTTCTGTGACTCCCAGTGAGCTGACAGCAGCCCCGCCTTGGCTCACTGCTTTCCTATAACCTTTCTAGGGAGCCAAAGCAGAGCACCACCTAGCCTGTCTCCTTTTGCTTCTTCTACCCTAAGTTCTATTTTTGTTTCTATATCCCTGATTTTAACAAATGCTCTCTCAGGTCACTTGGACTCATTTGTAAAATCTTTTCTAAATGAAGTCAAGAACCCACAGAACCCTGGCTGGCCTGAGGCAGGCACACTCCAAGCCTCTCCCTGTTTGGTAACAACTTGATGTACCTAGAGAATGTTTCAGGTGCACTTGACAAGAATGCCTCTTGTGCTGCATTTGAATGCAATGTTCTATATATATTTAGGAGTAGTGTTTACTCTAAAGTGTAGTCATCCTTTAATAATTCCTTATTCATTATGGACGGGATATCTAGCCTTTGTTGAAAGGGGAATATTGAAGATCTCTACTAATATTTTTTTTCCCTACCTTCGGATCTCATATTATTTGCTTAATGTACTTAAGCAAATAAATACTATTGTTGGGTGCATAATACTTAAAATTGTATCTTCTTGGTTTTTGTCTTATTCATGGGGTAGGTTGTGGCAAAGGGGACTTTTTTGGAATTCATGCTGACAAATTTTATAGAGACCTCTCATGTGTAAACTATGGAAAGTTCACAGTGGAGGGGCCCCTGTGGTTCCTAAGAACAATGTTTCCCAGGCCACTAGAGTCAGTGTGAGGGCAAGCTCTATAGATGAAGGAGGCATCTTCAACTTGTGTTCTGACCCATGCCATTTCCACATAGGTTTGCTCACCCAGCCAACATTTTTGGGTGGCCTTTTTTGCTTCCTGCATTGTTAGTTGTCTTAATGGCATTCTTATTCCTCTTCCTTTGCCCTGTTTTAGTTTGGGGATAAGTATTTACTTGTTTTCAGAAGATGGATGAATTCTCAAATCTCCGATTCTCCCATCCTGATGACGTCACTTACATACATCTTTTTCCTGGGGCCTGTTTTGTTCTATAATAGTGCGGCCATCCATCTCTTCAGATTTTTTCTTAGGATCTGTATTATTTGTATCCCATGTAATGGCTCAATTGGGAGTGGAGGGGAAGAGTTTTTTGTGTATCACAAGAGCGACATGACTTTACCAGTGGCAGGTTGGCCTGAGCGGAGGTCTTACCTTGGTCAGTACATTTGGTGAAGGCTTTGTTAAGGTCATAAATAGGAACTCCTGTTGTTTAGCTTTGTTACCATTGCAGTTTCCACACCACTACCTACTTTACTTTGCTTATTCTTGACACATTGCCAATTACTCAGTTCTAATCTTTATCATATTTAGTCAGATTTTGAGACCATGGTTAATCTCCACCTCTCAAAACTCTGCACTTCAGTGATTTCCCTCACACGTCTCTCTCTACTGCTTTTCAACCTTGATTCATACCTGTAGAGCTTTGGATGTGCACATATCTTTGTTATTTTTTTTTTGTTTTTTTTTTAATCCTCATCCGAGGACATTTTTCCATTTTTTGTACAGACAGAGTGGGAGGGAGAGAGAGGAAGAGAGAGAGAGGGAAACATCGATGTGAAGGGACACATCGAGTGGCTGCCACCCGCACGACCAACCAGGGCCGGGGACAAACTGCAACCGAGGTACATGCCCTTAGCGGGAACCGAACCCGGGCCTCTCCGGACCGCAGGTGGACGCTCTAACCGCTGAGCCAAACCGGCCAGGGCGGATGTGCACATATCTTTATATTGACCTTGAACATCATCTGCTCTGTTTCAGTTGATATTTATGGGTTTAGGCACATTCACATTCTTCTACACAGCCTCACATAATCAGCAGGAAACATCCTACTGGAAGCCATTTTCAGAAAAACAACTAGTAGATCCTTCCACACTTTGTGTTCCATCCTATGATCATGTTCCTACCTTGGTGAGGTCCCCACCATTTACTGACCTTTGAGGCCAAGTAATGTTAAAAGCTATTTTCTCAGAGTCTAACTCATGTGTGGAAAATCACTGCAACCCTGGCCGGTTTGGCTCAGCGGTTAGAGCAATCGGCCTGCGGACCAGGGAGTCCCGGGTTTGGTTCCCGCTAAGAGCATGTACCTCGGTTGCAGTTTGTCCCCGTCCCTGTTGGGGTCGAGTGGGTGGCAGCCAGTCCATGTGTCTCTCTCACATCGATGTTTCTCTCTTCCTCCCTTTCTCCCTCCCGCTCTATCTGAAGATGAATGCAAAAATGTCCTCCAGTGAGGATAAAAAAAAAAGAATCACTGCATAGAATCATGCCTAGCTGTGACAGATGCACATTTGTGGTGAGATTACCTTTTGCTATAAGGTCAATGTGTAATTCACTAGCGTTTCCTTTTGTTCAGGTTGCTGCTGTGGAGCACAGGGTGTGGAGGCACCCACTGAACAGAACACTTCTGTAAGAGTGTCACAGTCAAAGAATCCCAAGGCACCCTCGTCTTCCCAGAAGAGCCACCCTTGTGAGAGTTGTGGGCCGGTCTTGAGGGACATATTTCAGTTGTTTGAGCAACCGGGAACACAGCCCAGTCCAAAACTGTTGAGGTGTGGGGCATGTGCAAAACTATTTTATTTCAGTGCAGAGCGTCATGACCACCAGGAGCAGCACAAGAGAGGAAAATGTCTCATAAGAGGAGTGAACAGGGCCTCACTTGTGAAGGGCTGCAATTTCAGCGTGTCCCAGAAGGTTTTTACTGGTGGAGACTTTGGGCGTAAACACCTTACTAGCTCAAGACATCTTCAACAACAGGCTACTCACACCAGGGTCAAGCCAAATGAAATCTTCACGTCTGGGGTGACACTTCAAAAGAGAAATAATTACTATACCAGGAATGCATGTAAAAATACCATTGGCTGCAACCCTGCATGTGTTCCAGACCAAACTGTCCACACTGGAAGGCAGTGTTTTGTCTGCCGTGAATGTGAAAAATGTTTTAGAGGAATCTCTGGCCTTCGTTATCATCAAAAAGTTCACATAGGGAAGAAGTCATATAAGTGCAGTGAATGTGAGAAATGCTTTATAGATCATGCCAGCCTTGTTCAACATCGCAGAGTTCACACTGGAGAAAAGCCTTATGTGTGTGGTGAATGTGGAAAATCCTTTAGTCACAGTTCAAGCCTCATTCAACACCAAAGGATACATACTGGAGAAAAGCCTTATAAGTGCAGTGAATGTGGAAAATACTTTGCCAGAGTCTCTAGCCTTCGTCTTCATCAGAGACATCACACTGGAGAAAGGCCTTATGAGTGCAGTGAATGTGGGAGGTCTTTTAAGTTGAAGCATCACTTTCACTGTCATCAGAGATTACACACTGGAGAAAAGCCTTATGTATGCAATGAATGTGGGAAATCTTTTATCAGAAACTCTGACCT